AATTGTTCAGTGTTTTAAATTTTAGATTTTTCGATTTCCCGTTTTTTTTTTCAGTTCTTCAGTATTTCTATTTTTCAATTTTGGACGTTGCTAAATTTTCAGTTCTTTTTTCGACATTGCTTTTATGGTTTTTCGATTTCTCAATTTTCTAATTTTTTAATTTCTCAATTTTTGGATCTCTTTCAGTTCTAGGATTTTTGAATATTTTGATTCTTCGACTTTTCGATTTTTCGACTTCCGGATTTTTCGATTTTTCAGTTTTTAGATCTTTAAATTTTAGATTTTCGAATTTTTTTTTTTGGTTTTTTGATCTTCGAATTTTTTGATTTTTCAATTTTGCGATATTTTAATTGTTCAATGTTTTAACTTTTAGATTTTTCGATTTCTCATTTTTTTGATTTTTCAGTTCTTCAGTATTTGTATTTTTCAAATTTTGACGGTGCTAAATTTTCAGTTTTCGGATTCTCAATTAATCTATTTTTGATTTTCCCATTTCTCGACTTCTCAAAGTTTCGATTTTTCAGTCTTGAATTCTTCGATTTTTCGACTTCATTTTTTTTTGGTTTTTCGATTTCTCGATTTTCCAATTTTTTAATTTCTCAAATTTTGGATATCTATTTCAGTTTTCGGATTTTTCAATATTTCGATTCTTCGACTTTGCGATTTATAGATTGCTGGATTTTTCAATTTTTCGACTTTTCTATATTTTAATTTTTGAATTTTTAAAATTCTGGATTTTTTGATTTCTCGAATTTTCAGTTCTTCTATATTTTAATTTTCCAATTTTTCAATTTTTTGAGATCTTGATTTATGAATTTTTCCATTTTTAAGTTTTTGAATTTTCGATTTTGGCATGTCTACATTTAAAGATAAATTGGAAAATCGAATATTTAAAAATTTCGATAATTGAAAAATTGAAAAACTTATAGAACAATTGTAAACTCAAGAAATCAAGAAACCCAAAATTTTAAAAATTGAAATGTTAAAATAACGAAAATTTAAAATATTCAGAAGCATAAAAAAACCTAAAGTTTTAAAAACGATACATTGAAAATCCAAAAAGTAAAAAGACGAAAAATGGGAAAATCCAGAACTCAAAAAATCGAAAACTCGAAATACTAATAAATACCAAAACTGAAATATCGAAAAATTTAAAAATAAAAGAAAAGTTGAAGAATGGAAAAACTGAAAAATCACAAAATTTAACGAAATATCCAAAAATTGGGGAATAAAAAATGGAATAATTGAAAAATCGAAAAGTGAAAAAAGCAAAGTTGAAAAATCGCAAACTTAAAAAACCGAAAATTCGAAAAATCAAAAACCTGAAAAATCGAAAAATTGAAGAACTGAAAAATCGAAACTTTGGGAAGTCGAGAAATATATATCGTAATATTGAAAAATCCAAAGATCAAGCAGTGGAAACATCAAAAAATCAAAAAAATAAAAATCGAAAATATAAAATTTAAAAATCGAAAAACTCAAAAATCAAAAAATCGAGTAATCGAAACATCGAAAAATTCAAAAACTGAGACATCGAGAAATCGAAAAACCGAAGGATCCAAAAAGCGAGGAGTCGAAAACTCGAGAAGTCGAAAAATCGAAAAATTGAGAAAGCATGGAAAATAAATAACCACCAACATTCTGGCCAAAAATATGTAAAATTTAATACAAAATAGAACACCATGCTTCAAAACTTCTAAAATAACTGCACTTTTCCGAAAAAAATCTATTGCATGATTACGGTCCCACCAGTATTCTTAAATTCTTGAATTCTTAGTTAAACAAAAAAAAATTGTTGCATGTCAAAATCGAGTGAAACATACGAGATGTGATATTGTTTGTAAATAAAAGCATCTAAATAATAACCATTTTCCGCCGAAATTCTGAACCCTTAGAGTCGACATTGGCCTGAGGGCACTCCGGTCTGTGGATCATACAAGTTCTCAAGATACGATAGAAAAGTGGACGGTTTGGAGAATAAAGTGGATGAAAGAGGTGGAGAGAAAGAACGAGTGGCAGGGAAAAGGATCGTCATAGGTTAGGAGAAAATGCCATAATGAATATTATGTAATTATTATTTATGTATTTAATTGTAACTGTAATGTCGTCTCTGACTTTTTCCTCTGTTGGAAATTTATTAGACAGTAGTTTTGGACATTAATCATATACTCGTATTATTGTATTGTAATTAATATATATATTTCCATAAAGAAATCAAGAAACAAAAGGAAATAATTTCCAAATTACCTTGTTACAACAATTCTCATATCTATCACAATTGATAGATTCCGAGAAATGTGTGTTTTCTTGCAACTCACACCTTATCAGTTGTAGATATTAATTATTAAATAATTGTTTTTAAGAATAAATACATCACCGAATTATCGCTAATACTATCAGCCAGTTAAAAAACACTCGTTTGTAACGAATATTCATTTCAAAACATGTAGGTATTTTTTAAATTTGATGTAATGTTATCTGAAATGAAATAAACTGTTCCTCAAATATGTAAAAGAACAATTAATAAATTAGTGCTGTCAAATATAGTCGAAATAAATCGCACCTTTAGCAAAATCTTGCATTTTTTTAATAGTTTTGTAAGTATTTAGCTTCCGGCAGGATGAAAAAGAGGATTATTTATCTTGTATTGGAAATCTATTTAGTGAACAGCTGGAAACATTTTCTTTTTGAAGATAAGTTTGAAAATGCACGTAAAATTCATTTTGGACATGTTGCAACAGCTACTCGAGTTTATCGTTATTAATTTTGTCTAATCAGATCGAGCCAAAGTTACAAAAATATCGCATAAATCAATATTATTTGAAGCATATCAGGTGCAAAAGTGAGAAGTATTGGTTTAGCTTCTGAGGGGTAAGTGATCTTTCTGATTGGTTTTAGCACAATATATCTAAACATTCAACCAGAGAAAATACTAGACTATGAGCCACTTTCGTTTGCTTCCGAGAACTAAAAATATCGTATAGTTTTGGTTTGACTTTTAGGATACCGTGGGAGACGACCCAGAGAGCCTCCAGGAGGGAACAAAGGAAGGATGAACCAGATCACGAAATTCGTGTTAATTAGTTTTATAGTTTTATTAATATTTTAGAAACTTACTGTTGAACAATTACAGATTATTATTATTGTTATTATTGTGGCTTCAACTTTTAGAACAGAGATCACCATATCTAACTTCCACTAGCTTTGTCATTGTGTAACATTGGCTGCATAACCACTAGAAACCGCGCCCTGAATTGCTGGTTGCATATCTACACACTTGCGATAAATGTATGTAAAATCTTCAAGATCAGCACCCGAAATAATCATCTACGATCTTTGACACTTCTTTAAAATGATTCATCTTGACTTGTTTGATCTTATCTTCTTCAGATTAGGCGATTCTTGGTCACACCACTCAAATAATCGGGGGATAAAACGAATTGTTTTTATATTATTGAACATAAGTAGATTTTGGGTTGAAGAGAGTTTATTGTAGTTATTTTTCAAGAAATATAGAAGTATTTTTTATTTTACAAGCTATAGGTGTAGGAAATTGATCGTATTTAATAACTGAAGGAGCTGATAAATGCGTGTTTTCTTGTAATTCACACCTTATCAGTTTGACATATCGCTACTCCTAAGTTTGAGATTTTCGACAATGATTGTGTAACTTTATCATGCAGAAACATTCGAAACAATCATTAAATTAAATTTCTTTTAACAATAAATACATCACTGCATTATCGCTACTATTATCAGCTACTTGAAAACCACTCGTCTGTAATAATTGTTTTAAAACACGTCCTTTTAATTTGATAAGGCACAATGAGAATTTAGTGTTATCTAAAATGCAAAAAACTGTTACGCAAAAATAATATAACCATGTATTGTAAGTTGCGAAAAATTCAGCTTGATCGAGTGTTGTCAAAGTTATCTGCTTGAAACCAAAATTGACTCAATTTCATCAAAAGAAAGACAAAAAAAAAAGAAAATTAGTAAAAGTTTGAAGAAGTATTTTGTGTCTGAAAGTAATCAACTGTCAAGTGATCCTTTAAGAGGCCATTGGGGAAGCGATTTCATATCAAAACATTCGAAATTATGACCTCAACACATTTGATTTGATCTAGAATCACCTTCTAATATTAGAACTTTTACGCGGTGCTAAAGCACGTAGTAGTTTTAGTTGATACTATTCAATTTTTTCGCTAAATCTTCACTTAGTATCGAACAAATCTTCTAGATTTTTTAAACCTTGTTTGGGATCTTGTTGTCAACCCTTCGTTCTGATTTTGTAGTCAACAACACGCTCTAGGTTTTTAGGTTTGGCTTGATTTTTGGGTTCGTCTTCACTCAAGCTCACCCACAACTTTGGCTCTTTAGCAACCTAAAGCACCCATTTTATAACGAATTTCTTCAACCAAACACCAATTCCGCCTCATAGATCAAAAATTGATAGCGTTGGCAGAAATTTTTGATTTTGAGTGGTTTGATGACATGATAATTTCAAGTGAATGAAAGTCACAAAGAAAACTGAAAGACGAAACTATGCTAAGGCTACATTATTTTTATTATTTTTATAAGAGCAACCAAGGACTTTAAACTTTCCCTCTTATCATTTTTTTTTAATTAAATCTGATAGTGAGCTCTCGTGGTTTAAACATTTCGTCATTATTATAAATAATTTTGATGACTTGAAAAGTGACACAAGGTGAGAGGCACGCCTACAAAAATTCCTAACTGATATTTTTGTTCGGAAGATAAATAAAACTGAAACTAAGTTTCAAATTTTTGAGTGAAAATTCAAAATTTGTTTCTTTAATTTTTTACCTAATAATACGAGTATAACAACAATAATAGTGATCAGCGATTTCCAAAATCTGTTTACACAGATCTGGAAAGCTGCTAAAGCTCCAAAGCAGCTTCTCTTTAAAACCAAATCTAACATCAATCCAAACCTTATTTATATTATTATTCTGATCTAATCAGATAAAGTCACAATTATAAAAACCGCACTTGTGCTTGAAACCGTCAGGTGCGAAAGTGTGGAGTGTGAGTACAGTTTTCGAGTGAATTCCCTGACTTCTAAAACACTGGATAAGATACACAGTTAGTAAAAATTTTTGACAATACTAACCCAAAACACAAAATTATCACACGCTTTTACAAGAATTCAAATTCAACTTCGTTTCAGACAAGACGACAAAATGAAGCTCGCTTTTTTGCTCCTCTCATTTAGCTTCGTCGCTGGTAAGTGAAACCCAAAAATCGCCAAAAAATACTCAAAATTTGTAGTCACTTCGTTCGAGTTCCAAGATCCTCACCAAGCTGACGTCACATTTGGTTCAAAAACACCCACAGCTCAGGTGATTTCTGTGAAAGAAAGCAACGACGGTGGAAGAGTGAAAATCGTGTCAGTCACTGGAGGTACCTAAATTAAATCAGTGTGACTTTCCTTTACACTAGTTTCCATTTAGTGGCAGGCCCGTTAACCGTAAAAACGAACAGCCAGAGCGTAATTGATGTTGAGACAGAAAATGCGGCTGATGCTAGCGAAAACACCCTGTCGATGAACCTTCTAGACTACGAAGCGTTAGTCCGTAAAGGCAGTCCAACCGTTTTCGCTATAGACGTTTACGAAAATAACGATATAATGAATAAACAAACTCTGAGTGTAAATATTGTCAATCTAGATGACGAAAGTCCGACTTTGTGGTCTTCAGCTTGTTCCATGAAAGTAATTCTATCTGGTAACAATTTCCATTTTATCTAAAGTGTGTGTTGTAGGAGAACACTCAAGTTGATGTAGATTCGAGCGACTGTGTATTTATAGTACATGATGCAGACGGCTGGTTAGCCTCTATGGACTTTTCAAAGATCATTGGAACACAGGGAGAGGACGATCTCTTCGAGTTCAAGTACAAAGACATCCCCGACAATACCACTCACCACAGCGAGGTCTACCTAGTCCTAAAAGACGGAAAAACCCTGGATTTCGAAACCACATTTGTGTACAGTTTTAGCATACAACCTGCGGTAAACCTTGATTATTCTTATCGCATTTACGTTTCATTTCGTAATTTAGGACGCTGCAAGTCATCCAACTTTTCCCCTGAGTGACGTACCCATCTTGGTGCGAGTACTAGATGTACCAGATCAACCCCCAAGATGGAACAGCGCTTTCAGTTCTGTTGAAACAGTTACCGAAAATACTAGAACGGTATCCGGTCTTTCAGTTCCAAAATTTGGACTTGGTCTAAGTTGTTAGTTGTAGACGTTCACCGTATCAGCTAGCGATGGTGATATTGGAATCAACAGCGCAATAAACTACAACATTACCAAAAAAAGTCTTGATTGTGTTTCGATTGATAAGGAAAGTGGTGAAATTACAATTGGTGAAATCGATAGAGACGACGGCAATGATCAGGTCACTTTCACTGTCAGGGCGTACGAGGTTGACGATCCGGACTCATACGTTGATGACACCATCACACTTATTGTGATAGATCAGGACGACAATGCAGCTGTTATCGGCATCGAAAATTCCGATGACAAGAAAATTGATATAACTATTGACGAAAATTCAGTTGATATAGAAGCGAACATTTTTGCCGATGATATTGATTTGGTAATTAATCAAAATGGTTTTTTTTGTCTAAGTAGATTTTGTAGGGGGACAATGCAGTTTACAATGTCACTCTTGTTTCCACGGGAAAGGTCGACTATGCGTCTGCTTTCTCAGTAACTCCGGAAATGGCGTTCGAACAAACCTATTTTGCTTTAACAGTTGTAGATCCAAGCAAGCTCGACTATGAAGATGTAAACTGGAAAAAGATCACCATGGAGGTAATTGTTGTCTTGGTGTCTAAAATTGATAACCTTTATTTTATTACATAGTTGCGCACAATCGGGATTGTAACGCCTGCCAATGTCGACACTCTACCTATCACTGTCACCCTGAAAGACATCAATGACGAAGTGCCTGTTTTCACACCAGTCGAAAATGCGGTCACAGTACCCGAAAACCAGAAAGCAGAAACCTTGATAATCACTATCACAGCAACTGATAAAGACCAAGAAGACATAGACGCTGGTTTAAAGTAATCAAAGTACCTGTTTGTATTCAACAAATTATTTAATTGTTTGTAGATACGAGCTCCTGGGAGACTATGCCAACACCGTTTTAACTATTGACGAGCCCAGTGGAGACGTGTCAACAAAAATTGACAATGCGTTCGACTACGAGAAACAACAAACCGTCGTTGTGGATATCCGCGCCACTGATCAAGCCAACCACCAAGCTGTAGCCCAATTGACACTAACAATCACAGATGTGAATGACGAAAGTCCGAAACTAGCTGCTGTAAGTGTCGAAACTTGTCGACGATTTCACTAACTGTTCAGTTGTAGCTAACCCCTATTAGAATTGACGAAAATCAACCAGATGGTACCGTCTTGGAAGCGGAAATTTCGGCTTCTGATGACGATACTGATGCGAATTTGGAATTTTCGATCGACTGGGACAACTCTTACGCTACGAAAAACTCCATACAATTGTCAGACGAAAGTTTCGCCACCATTCGGTAAGTAAATCGTCGTTGTGGCCCAAAACCAAGACATTGTTTTAGGTGTGTCGAAATTACAACTGTGGCTGATTCTGAAGACAATAAAGTAGCGACCGCACAGCTTACTGTCACACAACCGGAAACTCTAGATTTTGAAGTTTTTGACGAACTGTTTCTAATGGTTGTGGTAACTGATTTGAACCAAGCGGATGGAAATGGTGTCGATTCGGGTACGAAGTCAACACTGGTGGAACTGTGGTAATGTTTTTGGTTGTAGCTTACCTTGTGATTAGTGTCCAGGACGTCAATGACAATGCACCCGTTTTTGGTGACGATATAGAAACGGAAAAGTGGCAAGTCATGGAAAATGCTGCCCCCGGGACTCTCATTGCTACGGTTGTTGCCGTCGATCTTGACATTGCAGACGTCTTGACTTATTCCATTGAGTAAGATTTAGTCGGAATTGAGTTCTTGAACATGTGGTTGTTTCAGGGGTGTTGATAAAGATTCACCGTCGGATTGGGTTACTATTGACGAAACTGGCTTGGTTACTGTCAATTCAAATAGTATAGACTGCGACAATCCTGTAAGAGAGTCCGTTAAGTACAATGTTACAGCGAGTGATGGCACATTTACGACCACAGCCACAGTACGGGTGACACTTTGTTACAAAGTTAAAATAATTTCGGCTATTTTAGATCACTGTTGATATTATTGATACAAATGATAATGCTCCAACGATGGAGAGTCTTGATGCAACTTTGGCTGAAAATAGTGCTGAGGGTGTCGTTGTGTTGACTCTGACACCAGAAGATGGCGACAGAGATGGTAAACTCGACAAAATCGCACCACTTTGCATTTACTTTTTCTTTCAGATGCTTACAATACAGTCAAATGTGACTTTGCACACTCAGCAACAACAGACGTTACGAACCAATTTGAAATAGTAGACAACGAAATCAAAGTACGCGCAGGAGCTACTCTAGACCGAGAGTCTCAAGACAAGTATGTTTTTGAACTCAGCTGTAACGACGATCCGGACCAACAAGGTACTATCAATCAAGATGCATTCGTGTGTTACATAATTCTAATTCAGGGTACGTTCGGAATTTTATCAATCCTGCTCCCGTGATTACCATCACTTTGGACGATGTCAATGATAACCCTCCGACCATTTATAATACTGACATTACAGGACAATTTGACGAGAGTTCAGCAAAGGTAGGTCAATTATCATACGAGTAGAGAATTGATTGTGGTTTTTAGGGTACCACAGCTAGTCTCGAAGGACGCGATGCAGATGACCCGAAGAGTCCAAATTCGAAAATTGAATTTCAGGGAATCACAAAAATTCAAAGATTTATTAACAAAGATGATACAACACCACAAAACGATCCTCCACAGGATCTCTTTACTATCAAAACGGGTGACAACAATGAAGGAATTCTGACTGTAAATTACGATAATCTTGATACCTATTTTGGATATTTGGTTCTTACCGTCAGCGTAAGTATCACTTTGATGATGTTCACTTTCAAAAAATTTGTTCTAGTTGAGTGATAAAGGAGATCCTCCAATGACCAACGAAGTAGACGTTACTGTAGAAGTTGCCAAATACAATTTCAAAGAACCTGCATTTTCGTTCCCATTTGATGAAGAAACCGTCTATTTGAAGAAGGTACTTGATAGATCTGAAACAAGAACACGGATTAAGTAAATAATTTCAGAAACAAACTCCCAATTCTCCACTTATTACGTTGAAAGAAGACGCCCCCTTGGATAATATTAAGGCCAGTGACCAACAGGGGGAGAAGTTTTCTCTGGAGTTCACCATCACTGAAGACAGCAGTGGCGATGCTAAACTTTTTAGTATCAAGAATTTGGGAAACTCAGAAGCACAGCTGCAGATCACTAGTGACGTTTTTAAGAGCAAATCCTACACTGTAATTTCAATCAAGTTTTAATTCGCATCACTGTAATTTTTTTGTAGATGGTTATCACTGCGTCTATTAGTGAGCAAGATTCCATTCAAGGAAGTGCCGCTTTTTCGAAGGACGTGACGCTCAACGTCGAGTTCATTGATTTGAAGGACACACAGACCGCCTTCACCAATCATCAACGGACAAGGACATAATTGTAGTTCAATTTAAAACGCAAAAATCGGTGACTGTGATTAGATTTAATATGAATACAATTACTGCTTTGTCCTTGGTGGTTTTATTCCTGGCGGACCTTGACCCCTCGAGCTTAAATTATTTTTAATTAATGGAAAAACTGGCCGTTAAATTGAAAAATGCTCTATTTCATACATTTATTAATTACTAATATTAATTAAAAAAGTATTGTAGTTACAGTGATAAATAAAGCGTCTGTGTTTGTACATCTACCCCTTAAAAGTTTAAAGCATAAATGAGTAACAACTTATACTAAAAATAAACACTCGAGTATTAAAAAATTGTACAAAATGAGATTACTGTTACTGTAGAGCATAAAAAATAAAATACTCGACGCTAAAAAATTCCCCCTCAGTTCGAATTCGGGTCCACTCCGTTGGAATTTTTGAGTAGGTGGACCGCCCTCAGCTGCACTTTAATTTTGGGTACCTCCAGGGCGGATTTTGGGACCTCCGGGGACGTCGACAACGACTGTGCAACGTTATCCTGTGAAACAAATCGATTAATTGATTGATTTTTTTTTTTTTCAAAAACAAAGCACATAGCTCGCTTTATCAGCAACACGATCAATCACTTCAAAGAATAAACACTCATCTGTGATTGTATAAATATGTATAGCTCGTTTCGATAAGACACAATTGGAATTCTGGTGTTATCTCGAGAATTTTTCGCGAACTAATAGAACCAAAATAGCTCCAAGGAAAAAACTCAACTTACCAATAAATCGGTGATGTAAACGTTTACTTGTTTAAGCAAGAGAGTAAAATGGTGCGCTTGAGTTTTGAGGCTTGAGACGAGAGCTCGCTGAACTCCATCCATATGGACACTCTAAGAAAGCAAAATCACTATGAGTCTCAAGAACTATTGCGTGTGTGAGAGCAACCGATTGTCAAGTGAATCCTCAAAGCGTTAGTTAAGAGCAAATGCGAAGCTTTGGTTCTATTAGCATCTGGAGTCTAAAAGGAGAACTAGATTTTGGGGCTAGTTGGGAAGCGATTCCGTATGAAAGCTTAGTCATGGTGCTGCGATTTCATACAGAATCGTCTTCTATTGTTAGAACTGTCGTAGATTTTTCACCCAAAAATATACATACCGTCACTAAAGAATCCGCGAAGTGCAAAAATCGTGACACTGAAGCCACAACCTTCGTTGGAATCTTGCTAATAAAGTCGCTAGTGTAATTGATAAAATGGACAACCCTTCTAGCTGATTCTCTCGTCAACAACACGATCAACTGTTCTAAGTTTTCGGGTCTAGCTTGATTTTCGGGTTCGTCTTTACTCAAGCTCGCCCACAACTCCTTCCCTTTGGCGAACGCCAACTTCGGGTCTTTAGCGACCTAAAACACCCATTGTCTAACGAATTTTCTCACCCAGACACTTACTAATTCCGCCACGTAGATCAAAACATTGATAGCCTCAGCGCTGTGCTCCTTCAAAGCTTTAGCTTCTGCTAACGTCCGTTTCGTCAGGCGTCTTTGCAACTTTCCGGAAAAGCGACCCACGTGGTGCATGGTCTGGATGGCACGGTTCGTGTTACCATCGGAGTTTTCGTTGACTTCTAGCTCTGAAAATTTAGGTCGATTTGACGCTTCTGGTCTATCGAGTTTACCTTTTTGGTCGTCGTAGACAGCCGCTGGTAGGTACTTGTCGACGTACTTATCAGCAACGTCCAACGCTCCGTCTAGAGTATCAGCTGCAAAGGCTGTGTACTTGCTCGACAAGACGGTATTGCCGATTTGCTTGACGGAATCTGCTCTTTTGAGCACCGGTTTGACGATTTTGTTACCGACTTCGGTCACGTATTGCTTAGTGTTCCAGTAGATCTGGAAAATCAAAATTGACAAGACAGTCGTGACGATTGATAAAGTACCATTTCTGGAGGTAGCGCGATTGATGGGACTTTCTGCTCGACGATGTCCAGACTCTTGCACAAGACTTTGTCAATAGAAGAAATCGGGGCTTGGAACAGAGCGATGGTTGGAAGAGCGGTGTCAACTGCAGCCTGAATGGAACTTTCCGCTTGTTGCAAAGTCCAATAAACGAGGTTGTTGGAATTCTGGAAACTTGCATTAGAAGATATCTTTGTTGTACAATTCTTACTTTAATTTTGTTGTACATGTTTCCAGCGATGTGCCACCCGGATTCGACGATTGGTAGAGTGGTTATTCGGTTAACTGATTCTAGGTTCTGGAGCCTAAAAGGCGCTTTCTTTGTCTGCGGAGGTGTGGCCACTGAAAATTGTTGGTTTTTAGTCAAATTTTACTTTTTGCGTCGTTTGTTAAACATGCACTATGTTATCACTTCCGTTTCATCTTAAGTCTGTTATCAAAAATATTTACCGACTAAAGTAAAAGTAGGGATTACTCATCTTTAATCTACCATCTTTTGAACGTCACATGTTTTTAAAAATAAATTAACTGTTAACGTTCGAAATTATAATTAAATTATTTGCTTTAGATAAAAATAATTAAAAATTATTTTTACAATTATGTATGTATATTTACAAAACTTGTCAAAAATTTTCGTCGGTCGCATTTCGTCCTATCTTATCGTTTTCTTTTTTTTTTTGTATCATATCAAAATACGTTGTTCATGGTTAAAACATTTGCGTCGATAAGTACCTATGAGGATCCGAAAGGTGATAAGACGTGAGTGTAAAATTCCAAACTGGATTATTTGTAGTTTACAATACAAATTATTGATCTTCTAAGCCCTTTATCGTGCTTCCAGTAATTATACGAGGTTTGAGATTTCAAAAAGTGTGGATCTTGTGCATCAACACATTCGTCGAATTTATTTTAAAAATTGTCGCTTCCTGACCTAAGGAAGTATTGTAACCGACTCCATTGTGTTTTCTCGACCTTTCATGACGCCTGGACTATTAGAAATAAGTCTCACTTTTCCGTTTGTCTGTCTGTCTGCCGTCTGTCCGGATTTTTATTAGGCAGATACACAAGTTTAAAGCTTGTCGTAAGCATGGTAAATCGTTAATAAAAATGAATGATATTACAATTTTTGGTTTTTTGTCTTCTTTGATTTTTAAATTTTTCCACTTTTCAGTGTTTCGGTTTCATAATTTTTAGTTTTTACACTTCAATTTTTCAATTTCTCAACTTAAAAATTTTTCAATTTTTCGTTTCGATTTGTAGTTTTCCAATTTTGCATTTTTATTTTTTCATTTTTTGATTTTTCAGTTACTCAATTTTTAATTTTCGATTTTTCAAATTTTCGTTTCCTCAGGTTTCCTTGATTTTTATTTTTCATTTACCGAATTTTTTAATTTTCATTTTATCGATTTCATGTTATAATTTTTCACTTTTTCATCTTTCGGTTTTATGATTTATCCGATTCTTCAAATTTTCAGTTTTTGATTTTTCCATTGCTCAATTTTCCAGTGTTTCTCAATTACCCGATTTTGCGATTTCTGGAATTTTCAGTATTTCGATTTAACAATATTTCGTTTTTTTGATTTTTCTGTTTCTCAATTTTTATCTTTAGATTTTTCAGTTTTGTTATTTAGTAAATTTCCAGTTTTTCAAAGTTTTCATTTCGTACTCTTTCGTTTTTCATTTCTGGTTTTTCAATTTTACAGTTTGGGAATTTTCACAGGTTTATGATTCGAAATATTGAAAAAATTTGAAAAACCTAAAAACTGAAAAAACGAAAAATTGCAAAATCGAAAAAGTGGAAAATCGAATACTAGAAAAACTTGTAATCCCAAAAAAGAATATTAATGATTGAAAAAATTGCAAAATGTAAAAATTTTAAAATCGAAAAATTATACAAACGTCAAAATTGTTAAGGAAAAAAAACTGTAACATCGAAAGATCGATTGATTGATAGGTTGATAGGTTTATATTGATAGAATGATAGGTTCATTGAATTTTCTTAAAAATAGCAAAATACACTAACTGAATAACTAACTATAAGAAATTGAAAAATTCAATAAATGAAAAAGTTAAAAATTCGAAAAATTGAAAAATTATACAATTCAAAAATCGTAAAAATGAAAAAATGAAACATTTTAAAAATTATTACGTAACTGGAAACACTACAAATTAAATTTGAAAAAACGGAAAATTCAAATATTGGGAAACTGAAAAATGGCAAAATTAAGTTGAAAAATTGAAAACCCAAAAATTGATAATAATCGAAAAATTGAAAAATTTCACATTGAAAAAAAAAATTTAAAAAAATAAAGAAAACAAAAAATCTAAACGAAAATTGCAAATCGAAAAATTACTAAATCTAAAAACTTACAAATGAAAACTCGAGGAGTTCCAATATCGTAAAAGTGAAGAGACAAAAAACTTGAAAAAAAAGTTGAAAAAAGAGAAAATTGAAAATATTGAAATTGAAAAACAAACAGTTATAAAATGGAAACATTGAAAAACCAAAACATTGTCAAAATGAAGACAATAAAAAACCGAAACGAAAAATTGCAGATGCAAACTTTGAAGAAATGAAGAATCTAAAAATTGAAAAATTAAAACTGGGGAAATTAAAAAAAAAAAATTAGAACATTGAGAAATCGAATAATTGAAATGAATTATTATCCAAAATTGAAAACTAACGAATAATTGCAAAATCCAAAAATTGGAAAATCCAAAAATTGAACAATTGAACATTGAAAAAGAAAAATTATAAAATCAGAACACGGAAAAACGAAAAACTGAACAAGTGATAAATTGAAAAACCGAAAAATTGAAAAATTAAAAATTCAAAACTCGTGAAACTTCAAAACGAAAAATGGCAAAATCTAAAAATTTAGAAATGAAAACTTGAAAAATTGCAAATAGAAAGGTTGGAAAAACGAAAAACTGAAAATATTTAAATTGAAAAAACAAACAATTATAAATGGATACACTGAAAAACTGAAAAATTGTCAAAATTAAAAAATAAAAAACCGAAACGAAAAATTGCAAATGGAAAATTTGAAGAAATGAAAAATTAAAGAATCGAAAAACTGAAAAATAAAAATTGAAAACTCGATAAATCTTAAATCACAAAATTGCAAAATCGTAAAACGAAATATTTAAGAAACGAAAAATTGGAAAAATTAAAATTGCAAACACAAAAAAACAAAATTGGAACATTGGAAAATCGTATAACCGAAGCAAATTAATATTAAAAATTGAAAACTCCGGAATGATTGCAAAATCCAAAAATTGAAAAATTTTATCCTGAAAAATGAAAAATTATAAAATCAGAATAATGAAAATAGGAAATCGAAACGAAAAATGGCTGATCGAAAAATTAAAGAAGTGAAAACTCGAAGAAATTATAACAAAATTTATGAAACAAAAAATTGTAAAAATTAAAAATGAAAATACAAAAAAAAAATAAAATTGGGACATTGAAAAATCGAAGAATTGAAAAACTAAAGAAAATGAAAACCGAAACGAAAAACTGCAAATCGAAAAGTCGAAAAATTAAAAATTGAAAAATCCAAAAATTGAAAAATTTCACATTGAATAAAGAAAAATTATAAAATCAGATCATGGAAAAAGAGAAAAATTGGAAAAATATAGAAAATAGGCAATCTAAACGAAAAATTGCATATCAAAAAATTAAAGAAGTGAAAAATTATTCAGAAATCGAAAAATTAAAAATAAATAAAGAAAACAAAAAATCGGAACGACAATTGAAAATTTAAAAATTCAAGAAGTGAAAAATTGGACAAATCAACAAATTTAAAAATGAAAACTATAGGAGTTCAATATCGTAAAAGTGAAGAGACAAAAAAATGAAAAATTGAAAAATCCTAAATCGAAAAATTGAAAATACTGAATTTGAAAAAACCACATTGAAAAACCGAAAAATTGTCAAAATAATGAAAACTAAAAACCGAAACAAAAAACTGCAGATGAAAAAGTTGAAGGAATCAAAAAATTGAAAGATAAAAATTGAAAACTGGAGAAATTAAAAAAAAAATTTAAGCAACGAAAAATTAAAAAAATTAAAAACAAAAATACAAAAAAATTAAATTGGAACACAGAAAAATCGAATATTTGAAAAAATAAAGAAAAAAAAGCGAAACAAAAAGTTGCAGGTGCAAAATTTGAAGAAATGAAGAATCGAAAAATTGAAAAATAAAAGTAAAAATTGAAAACTGAGGAAATTTTAAATCAAAAAATTGCAAAATCATCAAACATTGAAAAATCGTATAATTAAAATAAATTAATACTCAAAATCGAAAACTAACGAAAAATTGCAAAATCCAAAAATTGAAAAATCCAGAATTTGCACAATTTGAAACAAATTGAAAAAGAAAAATTATAAAATCAGAACACTGAAAAACGAAAAAAATTAAAAAATAAAGGAAACAAAATCGAAACGAAAAATTGCAAATCGAAAAACTGAACAATTGATAAATTGAAAAATTAAAAATTAAAAACTCGTGAAACTATAAAGGGAAAAATTGCTAAATCTAAAAATTTTAAAAATGAAAACTCGCAAAGTTGCAATCGGAAAATCGAAGAAACAAAAAAAATTAAAAATCGAAAAGTTGAAAACGAAAAACAGAAAATATTGAAATTGAAAAAACAAACATTTATAAATGGATACATTGAATAACCGAAAAATTTTCAAAATAAGAAAATAAAAATCCGAAACGAAAACTGCAAATGGAAAATTTGAAGAAATGAAAAATTGAAGATTCGAAAAAGTCAAAAATAAAAATTTCAAACACAAAAACCATAAAATTGGAACATTGGAAATTCGTATGATTGAAGCAAATTAATATTAAAAATTGAAAACTCTCGAAAAATTGCAAAATCTAAAAACTGGAAAATTTTATCCTGAAAAAAGAAAGATTATAAAATCAGAATATTGAAAAACTGAAAAATTGGACAAATAAAGAAAATAGGAAATCGAAACGAAAAACTGCATATCGAAAAATTAAAGAAGTGAAAACTTGAAGAAATTGCAACATCGTAAGACGGAAAATTGGTTAAATTAAAAATGAAAATACAAAAATAATAAAATTGGGACATTGAAAAATCGAATAATTGAAAAACTAAAGAAAATAAAAAACCGAAATAAAAAACTGCAAATCTAAAAGTCGAAAAATTTCACACTAAATAAAGAAAAATTATAATATCAGAATAATGAAAAGCAGAAAAATTGGAAAATAAAGAAAATAAGAAATCGAAACGAAAAATTGCATATCAAAAATTCAAGGAATGAAAAATTATTGAAAAATCAAAAAATTGAAAAAAATAAAGAAAACAAAAAATCGGAACGAAAATTGAAAATTTAAAAATTGAAGAACTGAAAAACTGAAAAATCCGAAAATTTAAAAATGAAAACTACAGGAGCTCAAGATCATGAAAGTGAAGAGACAAGACAATGAAAAATTAAAAAATTGTAAATCGAAAAGTTGGAGAAAGGAACAACTGAACATATTGAAATTGAAAACACAAAAAATAATAAAATGGAAACACTGAAAAACCGAAATGCCAAAATAAAGAAAATTAAAAACTGAAACGTCGAAGGAATCCAAAAATTGAAAAACAAAAATTGAAAAGTGGAAAAATTTTAAATAAAAAATTATAAAATCGTGAAACGAATAATTTAAGCAACGAAAAATTGAAAAAATAAAAATCGAAAACACAAAAAACATAAAATTGGAGCACAGAAAAATCGAATAATTGAAAAGATAAAGAAAATCAAAAACCGAAACGAAAAATTGCAAATCGAGAAGTCGAAAAATTAAATATAAAAATTGAAAAATCCAAAAATTGAAAAATTTCACATTCAAAAAAAGAAAAATTGTTAAATCAAAACATTGAAAATCCGAAAAAATAAAGAAAACAAAATATCGAAACGAGAATTGCAAATTGAAAAATTGAAGAAGTGAAAAACTGAGAAATCTAAAAATCGTTCGAGAAATTTTAATCAAAAAATTGCAAAATCGAAAAACGAAAACTCTAAGAAACGAAAATTGGAAAAAATAAGAACTAAACTACAAAAAAATGGAACATTGAAAAATGGAATAATTGAAAAAAAGAACTGAAACGAAAAACTGCAAATCAAAAAGTCGAAAAATTAAAAGTTGAAAACTAGCGAAAAATTGCAAAATCTAAAAATTCAAAACTCCAAAAATTGGAAAATTTCACAATGTAAAAAGAAAAATTATAAAATCAGAGCATTGAAAAACAGAAAAAGTGGAAAAATAAAAAGAAAATCGAAACGAAAAATTGCAAATCGAGAAATTAATGTGAAAAATTGAAAAATCTAAAAATTGAAAAAATTAAAAAAAAAACAAAAAATCGGAACGAAAATTGAAAATTTAAAAATTGAAGAGCCGAAAAATTGAAAAATTAAAAAAATTCAAAATGAAAACTAGAGAAATTCGATATCGTTAAAGTCAGAAAAATGGAAAATATTGAAATTGAAAAAACAAAAAATTATAAAATGGAAACATTGAAAAACCGAAAAATTGTTAAAATAAAGAAAATTAAAAACCGAAACGGAAAATTGCAGATGGAAAATTTGAAGGAATGAAAAATTAAGGAATCGAAAAATTGAACAATAAAAATCGAAAACTCGTGAAATTTCTATAAAAAAATTCCAAAATTCTAACACGCAAAATTGAAAAAATTAAAAACAAAATTATAAAAAAAAATAAAATTGGAACATTGAAAAATCGAATAATTGAAAAAATTAAGAAAATAAAAAACCGAATCGAAAAACTGAAAATTGAAAGCTCGCGAAAAACTGCATATCGCAAAAAATTGAAAATCCAAATATTGAAAAATTTCAGATTCAAAAAGGAAAAATTATAAAATCAGAACACTGAGAGACAGAAAATTGGAAAAATAAAGACAGTAGAAGTAATCGAAACGAAAAATACCAAATCGAAAAAAAAATTGAAAAATTAAAAATTGAAAACTCGTGAAGCTGCAAATCGAAAAATTGCAAAATCTAAAAGTTTTAGAAATGAAAACTCCAGGAGTTGCATATCGTAAAAAAATGAAAACTCGAAAAATTGCAAAACGAAAAGTTGGAGAAGGGAAAAATTGAAAATACTGAAACTGATAAAACAAAAAATTATAAAATGGAAACATTCAAAAACTAAAAAAAGTGTCAAAATAAAGAAAATTGAAAAACGGAACGAAAAATTGCAGAAAAAATAAGGAGTGGAAAAATTTAAAAAACGAAAAATTGAAATAGATGAAAAAACTAAAAATTGAACAATTTCACATTGAAAAAAAAAATAGAATCAGAACACAGAAAAATTGGAAAAATAAAGAAAATAGAAAATAGAACCGAAAAATTGCAAATCGAAAAATTGAAGAAGTGATAAATTAAAAAATTAAAAAATTGCAAAATCCAAAAATTTTAGAAATGAAAACTCGAAAAGTTGCATATCATAAAATTGAAGACACAAAAAAAATTGAAAAATTACAAATCGAAAAGCTGGAGAAAGGAAAAATTGATTGAAAGTATTGAAATTGAAAAAACAAAAAATTATAAAATGGAAACGTTGAAAACCGAAAAGCTTTCAAAATAAAAACCGAAAGGAAAAATTGCAGATGGAAAATTTGAAAAAATGAAAAATGAAATAATCGAAAAATTGAAAACTCAAGAAATTTTAGATCGAGAAATAGCAAAATTTAAAAAATGAGAAACCAAAAAAATAAAATTTGGAAAAATTAAAATTGAAAATACATCGAACACTGAAATATCGAATAACTGAAAAAATAAAGAAAACAGAAAACGAAACATTAAAAATTCTTCGAACAATTTTTTGAAAATATTGGTTCAAATAACACTATTTTAGTTCAAACTGAAAAATGACTTTCCGTATATGTGTTAAAAGTAGATAAAAAAATTCACAACATTGAAATACGTTGACCTACAATAGTACAGGATATGAGATTTAGAACAATGATAAAATTGACCGAAATCAATGTTACCAATAGCGTTAGAACAATCAACCACGCCAAATCTTAAAAAATTTAATCTTTTTATTTTAAATCTACAACAATACTGGCCAAAATTTATCTCCAACAATCAAACTATCATAAAAATTTTTGTAAATTTTCGCGATTTACTTTCATAAATTCTTGGTAAGCACACAAACAAAAATCATTAATGCCACTCATTACCCGGACAGCTCTATCTAATCTATTTTCGCTATTATCATTCAAGGTGCGTAATACCTAAATATAAGAAACAAAATATTATCGAAATGTGTAATAATTTCCTAAATTAAAAAACAAATTTCCACGGGTTCAAGCGTGATAATTGCGTAAATCACTTTCGGAACTTTAATGTATTCATTATGTCGTTGATTAAACAAAAATAAACCCATCTCATTTGCTAAATTGGCAAGTTTTCTTAATTACGGGCTTGTTGATAATTAAAGCATCTGAAGAATTCGAAGATCTGGAACGAGATAAACGAACCAAAAAAATATAAACAGTCGTTAACAGTCGTAATTAGTAACGTGGCGTTTTTACAGACAGAATTATGATACTAAAAAGATCAATAGTTCATCTCGTGGTGATTCAACTTTCTAATTTTTAATTTTATCGGAAATTATATCCTGGTAGCTTATCTTTCACCGTACTTTGAGACTTATTTATTAGAAGATAAAAGTTATGTTATTGTGGTAGTTCAAGAACTTTAAACACATGTGTTTTATATGCACTTGGCGAAATTTCAATGGAGACGCGGCCTGGAATAAATTAATCAGTAAAAGTCATCACCGACCACCTCCTATAAATATTTTTATTTTTATCGGTTCGTGCAATATTGCAACGCATTATTTATCAAAGCGGTTCCAAAAACAACAACGAGTAGATGCAAGGGGTCCCTGAAGATGCTCAAAATTCGAAACACCTTGTCCGGTTTTGAGCGATTTTGTTAGAATTTTGAAAAATTAGAAATAGGAGAGGTACTTACTTTTGTCTTCACTGAAGCAAGGCTCACTTCAGACTGATAATTACTTCTTCATCTATGTTTATCCGTGAGACCCTCGTGATACGTGAAGACCTCTAACCTTAGATGCTCTTTGTACAACACTCGATAACGAATATTCGAATAAATATAGCAAATTTTGGAAAATTGCATTTTGACGCTACTCAAAGAATTTTATTTTGGCTGGAATTCCGTTTATCTTGTCTTCAGTTCTTCTGAAGATAAATTTGAAGATTCCTTTGGAAGATGACGTTTGCAACAACTAGCACTCCTGTTTATCTCAATTAATTTTATCTAATCAGATCGAGGCTAAATAATAAAATCGCACTCAGATGAATCAATATTATTTGAAGCATATCAGGTGCAAAAGTGTGAAGTAGTGGTTTAGTTTCTGAGTGATGAGTGATCTTTCTGACGGTTGTTAGCACGTTGGATTAAATAGGTGGTGAGTGCTGTCTAGAAAGAAAACTTTCAAAGCATTTTGATCCGAAAAGAAGAATTTTGACATTGCGAAAATGGAATTTTGGCGCAAATAGAGTTAGTTTAGTTTCTCCATTTTTCAAAATTGGGTTTTCTTTTTTAATAATGAGTTTAAACGAACGAATGTAGGCAGATAACGGCGTTTAATAAAGGTGTCCATGACGCTTTGTTAAGTGTTAAAAATTTCGCGATAAACGTACATGATAGCGATAAACAATAAATTGAAGATATTTACTTTAATGTGGCTTACTGATAATGCGGGATTATTGTAAATGTAATTTGCGGTTTGTATTTAGAGCGAAACAAATTTGTGACAGTTTTTTCTCAGTCAGGTAATTTTTTTTTGGCAACTATATTGTCGTATAAATCGAGTTTGAATTAACCGACTTAGGTTTTTAATCTTGACATTATCTCTAATTCTTTGAACTAATCTCATTAATTGTTCTAGAAACATTGTATTAATTTCAGACCAATTTGTAGATAATATCGTCAAAATGCGAATCCCGGTTTTGGGTCTGTTCGCCCTCTTTCTTTGTTCTGGTAAGTACAAAATTCCAGAAGAGACGTGACTATATTTAAAAATTTGCAGTTGTGTCATTTGACCTCGAAGATCCTAAAGAAGATGGGGTAACATTTGGTGACAAAACATCCACAGCTCAGCTCATTTCCATGATCGAAGATAACAATAATACTATTAGAAAAAATATTGTTTTAGTAACAGGAGGTAATTTTCAGATAAAGTGATTAAACTTGATACCAGTTTTCATTTAATTACAGCAAATGAAGAAATAACTGTTAATAGCAACAACAAAGACTTGCTTCAAATTGATACTACTAATAGTGGCAGCGACATTTACGTCTCCGTGGTAGCTCTCGACTATGAAAAAATCACCACTAAGAGTTTTCCCATAGACATTATAGAGGGCAACGATTTAAACACAAGGCAGACGATCAGTTTAAGTGTGGTTAATACTGACGACGAAAGTCCCGCCCTGTCAACTTCAGCTTGCATGATGAATGTAATACTAGTTGATTGATTTGTGGCCTGTGTAAACTGTGTTTTTTAGGAAAATGCCAACATTGATGTAGATTCGAGTACCTGTTTGTTCACAGTGAGCGACCCAGATGGTTGGCTAGAATATATGGACTATTCTGCAATTTATGGAAACAATGTAAGTTTGTTTTATAGAAAATCGCACGCTTTTATTATTATTTTTTAATTCATGTTTTAATGTTTCCCGACGTTTCATGATCCCTAGAGTACGAAAAAATCGGTCTCTCGTTTCTATCGTTGTCAAATTTAGATGATATCACGGTAATCATAGTTTGTCTGATCATCCCCATCAACCGTAAATTTTATAAAATAACGAATTGTAGTTTATGAATCCGTGTTGGAATCGTATGTTTCGAAATCATCCAAATATTTTACAAAATTTTATCCTAGATATCGAGTTTTTTGGAAAAATATTCAAACTATATAACAATATTTTGAATTCACGATTTTTCAATTTTTGATTTTTCAGTTTTTGATTCTTTAATTTTGGACTTTCGTTTACTCAATTTTTAGATATTTCAATTTTTGGATTTTTGAATTCTTCAACTTCTCGATTTTTAGATTTTTCGAGTTCTCAATTTTCCAACAGTTTAGTTTTACGATTTTTGCATTTATTTATTATTCAGTTGTTCGATTCATTCTTCAAATTTTCAGATTTTCAATTTTTCGGACTTCTCAGTTTTTCAATTCTCCAATTTTTTGAATTTTCAATTTTTCGATTTTTCGATTTTCCATTTTTTAGAATTTTCAGGATTTTTTATTTTTCAATTTTTTTAATTTTTAATTTTTTGATTTTTCAGTTTTTGTGACTTGGTTTTCTCGATTTTTCAATGCAGTTTTAGTGTTTTTCAATTTTTCGATTTCTCAATTATTAGATTTATTAGTTTTTCGATATTTTACTTTTGCGATTTTTCAGTATATCGATTCTTCAATTTTTAGATTTTTCGACATTGATTTTCTTATTTCTCGAATTCTTTTCTTCAATTTTTCGATGTTTGAAATTTTAGATTTTTCGATTTCTCCATTTTTCAGTTCTTAGATATGATAAGATAAGATAGGATAAGTTTATTGCACAACAGTACAAAAGGTTAGCTAAGAGTGCATACTGATAAATAACTTAACTAACCTAAGAATAAAACAAATAATTCTTGGATTTTTCTGCTGTTCAATTTTCTAACCTTTTTTTATTTTAGATTTATCTATTATTCAATGTTTCGATTTCTCGATATTTCGATTTTTCGACTTCTATGTGTTAGATTTTTCAGTTTTTCAATTCTTCGATTTTTAAATTTTTCCGTTTTTCGATTTTTTGATGTTTTGATTTAGCAATTTTTCAATTTGGATTTTTTCGATTTTTCAGTTTTTCAAATCTCAATTTTTCAATTTTTCGGTCTTTGAGATTTTTGTTTTTCTGATTTTACTATTTCTCGATTTTTTTAATTTTTCATGTTTCCGATTTTTCAGATCTCTTATTTTTAAATTTTCGATTTTTCGATTTTTCAGTTTTTTATTTCCCAATTTCTTAATGTTTCAGTTTTAGGGTTTTTCAATTTTTCGAATTTATCGATTTATCAATTTTTTGATATTTTTCAGGATTTTGATTTTTTAAATTTTTGAATTCTAGTTTCTCAATTTCTCGATTTTTCAATGAAGTTTTGGGTTTTCCAATTTTTCGATTTTTCGATTTATCAATTTTTCGACTTTTCTATTAATAATAATAATAATAATTTATTTTCTACAGGTATATAACCCAATTATAGAAAATACAAAATAACAATAATTGTTTACAATATAAAAGAAAAAACGACGATTATTCATTTTTCGTAATTTTAGTTTTGCGATTTTACGGTATTTCGATTCTTTCATTTTTCATTTTTCCAATTTTTCAGGTTTTTGGTTTCTCAGTTTTTTTAATTTTGAATTTTTTCGATTTTTCAGTTTTTCGATTTTTTTTATTTTAGAATTCTCGATATTTCGATTTTTAAAATTTTTGGTTTCAACGTTTCGATTTTTTTCGTTTTTTCAGTTTTCCAATTCTTCAAATTTCCACTTTTTAATTTTTCTATTTTTCGGTATTTGAGGTTTTTGTTTTGTCGATTTTACGATTTTTTTTTAAGTTTCTCCATTCATTAATTTCTCGATTTTTTAAATTTTCAGTTTTTCAATTTTTCAGATTTTTGAGTTTTCAATTTTTTCAATTTTTAAATTTGATTTTTCGACTTTCGTTTTCTCGATTTTTCAGTTTTTTTATTTCCTAATTTTTTAATGTTTCAGTTTTGGCGTTTTTCAATTTTTCAACTTTATCAATTTATCAATTTTTCGATATTTTAGATTTGCGATTTTTCAGTATTTCGATTCTTCAATTTTCCATTTTTCCAATATTTCAGGTTTATGATTTCTCAATTTTTTTAATCATTGATTTTCCGATTTTTCAGTTCTTCGACTTTTTGATTTTTCCATTTTTCAATGTTTCAGTATTAGGATTTTCCGATTTTTCGATTATCAATTATTATTTTCCGAATTTTTACTTTTGTGAATTTTTGTATTTCGATTTTTCAATTTTTCGAATTTTCGACTTTGATTTTCCGATTTCTCGACCTCTTTTCTTCAATTTTTAGTTATTTTAATTTTTTTATTTTTTGATTCCCCGATTTTCTTTCGATTCTTCAATTCTTCGAAATTTTAATTTTTTGATATTTTAAATTTTAGATTTTTCGATTTTTCTGCTTTTCAATTTTTCATTTTTTTTATTTTGGATTTATTACTATTATTTGATGTTTCGATTTCTCGGTACTTCGATTTTTCAACTTCTCTCTTTTAGATTTCTCGGGTTTTCAGTTTTTCGGCTTTAAAATTTTCGGTTTCAATGTTTCGATTTTTTTCGATTTTTCTTTTTTCCAACTCGTCAATATTTCGATTTTTTAATTTTCCGATTTTTAACTTTTCTATTTTTCGGTATTTGAGGTTTTTGTTTAGTTGATTTTACAATTTTTCGATTTTTTAGTTTCTCAATTCTTTGATTTCTCGATATTTTAAGTTTAATTTTTTCGATTTATCAGGTTTTTGATTTTTTAGTTTTTTGAATTTTTAGATTTTCGATTTTTCGACTTTCGATTTTTCGATTTTTCGATTTATCAATTTTTCGATTTTTCCATTATCCATTTTTCGATATTTTAGTTTTGCGATTTTACAGTATTTCGATTCTTTCATTTTTCCAATTTTGCAGGTTTTTGATTTCTCAGTTTTTTAATATGTAATTTTTCGATTTTTCAGTGTTTCGATTTTTTTTATTTTACATTTATCTATTTTTTGATTTTTCGATTTCTCGATATTTCTATTTTCCGGTTTTTAAAATTTTTGGCTTCAACGTTTCGATTTTTTTCGATTTTTTAGTTTTTCAATTCTTCAATATTTCAATTTTTTATTTTTTCAGTTTTTCGGTATTTGAGGTTTTTGTCTTTTCGATTTTATGATTTTCCTCAATTCTTTAATTTCCCGATTTTTTAACTTTTCCGTTTTTCAGTTTTTCAGATTTTTGAGTTTTCAATTTTTTGAATTTTTAAATTTGATTTTTCGACTTTCGTTTTCACGATTTTTCAGCTTTTTTATTTCCCAATTTTTTAATGTCTCAGTTTTGGTGTTTTTCAATTTTTCGACTTTATCAATTTTTGAATATTTTAGTTTAGGGATTTTTCAATTCTTCAATTTTTCATTTTTTCGAATTTTCAGGTTTTTGATTTTTCAATTTTTTGAATTTTGACTTTTCGATTTCTCGATATTTCAATGCAGTTTTGGTGTGTTCCGATTTTTCCGTTTTTTAGTTTGTCAATTTTTCGATTTTTCGTTTACCAATTTTTCGATATTTCAGTTTTGTGATTTTGCAGTATTTCAATTCTTCAATTTTTCATTTTTCCGATTTTTCAGGTGTTTGATTTTCCAATTTTGTAAATTTCGCTCTTTGAGGTTTTTTTTTCGATTTTTCAAATTCTCAATCTTCAATTTCTCAATTTTTCGTTTTTTCGATTTTTCAGATTTTTGATTTTTCAGATGGGTGAATTTTGAATTTTTCGATTTTTCGGTCACTCGACTTTTCGATTTCTCGAGCTTTCAATGTTTTTGGATTTTTCAGTTTTTCAACTTTTTGATTCTTCGATTTTTCAATGTTTCAGTTTTAGGGTTTTCCAATTTTTCAATTTTTCAATTTTTTGAATATTTTATTTCCCAATTTTTTAATGTCTCAGTTTTGGCGTTTTTTCAATTTTTCGACTATCAATTTATCAATTTTTCCATATTTTACTTTAGGCATTTTTCAATTCTTCAATTTTTCATTTTTTCGAATTTTCAGGTTTTTGATTTTTCAATTTTTTGAATTTTGACTCTTCGATTTCTCAATTTTTCAATGCAGCTTTGGTGTTTTCCAATTTTTCCGTTTTTCAATGTCAATTTTTTGATTTTTCGATATCTTAGTTTTGCGATTTTTCAGTATTTCATTTCTTCCATTTTTCATTTTTCCAATTTTTCAGGATTTTGATTTCTCAATTCTTTTAATCTTTAATTTTTGGAATTTTCAGTTTTTCAACCTTTTCATTCTTCGATTTTTCAATGTACCTATATGTTTTAGGGTTTTCCAATTTTTCGATTTTTCAATTTTCCGATTTATCAATTTTCTAATATTTTAATTTTGTAACTTTTTTGTATTTCGATTTTTCAATTTTTCGATTTTTCGAGTTTGATTTAATGCAATTTTTCCATGTTTTGATTTTTTTATTGTTTGATGTGTCAAACTGCCGATATTCAATTCTTCGAAATTAAAATCTTTCGATATTTTAAATTTTATATATCTCTCCATTTTTCAATTCCACGATTTTTCTGTTCTTCAATTTTTCATTTTTTTTTTATTTTAGATTTATCTATTTTTTGATATTTCGATGTCTCGATATATCGATTTTTCGACTTCTCTCGTTTAGATTTTTCAGTTTTCCCATGCTCCAATATTTCGATTTTTTAATTTTTCTATTTTTCGGTATTTGAGGTTTTTGTTTTGTCAACTTTACGATTTTTCGATTTTTCAGTTTCTCCATTCTTTAATTTCTCGATTTTTTAAATTTTCATTTTTTCAATTTTTCATGTTTTTGACTTTTCAATTTTTGGAATTTTTAGACTTTCGATTTTTCGACTTTCGATTTCTCGATTTTTCGACCTTCGATTTCCCGATTTTTCGATTTTTCAATGATTTAGTTTTGGGGTTTTTCAATTTTTCGATTTATCAATTTTTCGATATTTTACTTTTCGAATTTTTCAATTCTTTAATTTTCGGATTTTTTCATTTTTCATCTTTAACATTTTTTATTTTTCCGATTTTTCAGGTGGTTGATTTTCCAATTTTGTAAATTTCGCTCTTTGATGTTTTTTTTTTCGATTTTTCAGATTCTCAATTCTTCAATTTCTCGATTTTTTTATTTTTCGATTTTTCAATTTCTAAATTTTTCGTTTTTTTGATTTTTCAGGTTATCGATTTTTCGTCTTCTCTGTTTTAGATTTTTCAGTTTCCAGTAGGAATTTGGGCCTTTTTTAATTCAGTTACTTAGAAGCTAGATAAAACAAAAATGACAATCTCAGAATTCGAATGAGGAATTTTTGAAGAACTTTCAGAAATTTCGAAATTTGAAAATCCTGTCGAAATAACGACAATTTTTTTTTTAGGGCGAGAGTGATCTTTTTGACTTTGCATACAAAGGCGGCGCCGTTGACAACACCACTTCAGAGAGTGATGTTTTCCTAGTGCTAAAACCAGGCCAGACACTCGACTACGAAACCACAATGTTGTTCACATTTCACGTGAATGCCACGGTATGCAATCCACCCCTCGCCCTTGAAAACCGCCCCAAAACGTTGTCTTGTTTTGTTTAGGACGCCTATGGTCATCAAACTGCCCCCTTGGTCACCGTACCAGTCATCGTGCAAGTGGTGGACCAACCCGACGAACTCCCAAGATGGGGCAGCGGCTTCAAATCAGCTGCCACAATCACGGAAAAAACCGAATCGGTATGTTCTGTCCTGAAAACACGTTGTAGATTTTTTTTGTTTACCTACTTCTAGACAATAGAAGTGTCGGCGACGGACGGCGACATTGGGATCAACAACGAGATCAACTACGAAATTACTAACACAAGTACTGAGATACTGACAATCTGTGTTTTGTAGTGAATGTCACTTGGCTTTTAGGTCTGGAAGGTGCCGTTAGTATTGACCAAAAAACGGGTGTAATTAGTATCGAGTCAATCAATCGAGACGAAGGCAACGACCAAGTCATCTTCAGCGTGAAAGCATACGAAGTTCCAGAACCAGAATCTTTTATTATTGGAACCATAACTCTCATCGTGGAAGATCAGGACGACAATGTAGCAGAAATCAAAGTTGTGGGATCCGACGATAAGAAGATCGATATAGAGGTTGACGAAGGGACCATTGATTTAAATTTGGACATCGTAGCTAGTGACATTGATCTGGTAATGCTAACTGGTGGAATTATCAACTTCTATGTAAATGTTTGTAGGGAGAAAACGCCATTTACAACGCCACTCTTGAATTTACAACCACAGATTTCTCCTCTGGTTTTACTATAATTCCTGGAAGAGGTTACGAAAGTACAAGTCTTACTTTGACTATTCTAGATCCAAAAAAACTTGACTACGAGGATCCGGACTGGAGAGTGATTACAATGGAGGTAAAATTCATTAACTGTGCCGACCAACAACCGTCAAACAATTAATTTTCAGTTAGTAACAACCGGAACTAAAACCCCTACTAACATAGACAACTTACCCATCACGATCACACTGAAAGACATAAATGACGAAAGCCCTATTTTCCAACCAGACGAATATTCCGTCACAATTCCCGAAACCACAAAAGCGGGTACTATAATAAAAAACATCCAAGCAACAGATTTAGATCAAGAAGACATCGACGCTGGTCTAAAGTAAGCAAACCATTTGCTTTGGTATCAAACTGACTCCTGTTGTTGTAGACACGAACTCATAGGCAACTACGCCAATAGTATCCTGACCATCGAAGATCTCGGCGGCAATATAACAACAAACATTGACAACGCGTTCGACTACGAGAAACAAGAAGAAGTCATTGTCCAAATCCGTGCTACTGACAATAATAACCATGTTACCACCGCCCAGTTGACGATAACGGTTGAGGACATCAATGACGAAAAGCCAAAGATGGTTGTGTCGTCGTCCATCACCGTGGTTGAAAATCAAGCGGATGGTTTTGTCTTGGATTCGCAGATTTCCGCGTCCGATGAAGACAATACCTCGGATTTGGAATTTTCGATTGACTGGACGAACTCTTACGCTACGAAAAATTCGCAGAGATTGAAGCAAGAGGTTTTCGACACTATTCAGTAAGTGGGATTGTTTGGTTGGTGAAAATGGTTAACATTTGTTTTAGTTGCATCAATGTGGAAACTGTTCCTGATCCTGATAACAGCAAGGTAGTGACTGCAAAGCTCAGTATCAAAGAAACCCAGAAAGCCAGCACTCCAGACTATGAAGTTTTTGATAATCTGTACATAACGCTTGTCGTGACTGATAAAAACCAAGAAGAAGGAGATGGCACTGATTCTGGTACGTCTGTCTGTCTGTCTGTCTGTATGTCTGTCTGTCTGTCTGTCTGTCTGTCTGTCTGTCTGTCTGTCTGTCTGTCTGTCTGTCTGTCTGTATGTCTGTCTGTATGTCTGTCTGTATGTCTGCCGTCTGTACAATCCGTACTTTACATTACAAAAAAAAACATTGCATACATATATTTATTTTAACTCCATTTTTTTCGTTTTTTTTTTGTTTCTTTTATTTTTTCCAAGTTTAGCTTTTGTTTGTTCAATTATTCAAACTTTCCATCTCTGACTTTTCAATTTCTCGATTTTCCAATTTTTAAACTTTTCAATCTGAAATTTTTGCATTCCTCAATTATCCGATTTTCCCATTTCTTCAATTTTCAATTTTTCCATGTTTTTATTTGAGAAGTTGAAAAATCGAAAAATTGGAAAATCGAAAAACTAAAAATCCGGAAAAAATAAAAAACAGAAATATCGAAAAATTAGAAAATCGAAGAAGTGAACAAACGAAAAATCGAAACATTGAAAAACAAAAAATTGCGGAACTTAAATATCTATTACAACAAATTAAACAATTGCAAAATAAAAAAATTAAAACATCCAGAATTCAGAAAATTCAAAAAGTGAAAAATTAAAAATGAAAACTCGAAAAAATGAAACATTGCAAATCGAAGAATCGAATTTTTTAGTATCACCATTTTCGTTTTTGCAGCTTTAATTTTTTCAATTTTTCAATTTCTCAATTTCCAAAATTTTCAAAACATTGATTTTTATTTTTCGTTTCATTTATTTTTTAAAGTTTATTTGTTGTTCATACAATTGTTAAAATTTTTCATCTTTGATTTTTCAGTTCCTTGACTTTCCAATTTTAAAACTTTCAATTTTGAAATTTTTGTATTCCTCAATTATGCGATTTCCCAATTACTTTAACTTTCAGTTTGTAGATTTTTTGATTTTGCATTTTTTCGATTTTTTAGGTTTTTCGATTTTTAAAATTTTTGAATTCTGACTTTTGGATTTCTCGATTTTTGAATGAAGTTTTGGCGTTTTCCAATTTTCCAATTTTTCGATTTATCAATTTTTCGATTTTTTAGTTTTGCGATTTTACATTATTTCGATTCTTTCATTTTTCATTTGTCCAAATTTTCAGGCTTTGAGTTTCTCAGTTTTTTTAATTTTTAATTTTTCTATTCTTCAGTTTTTCGTTTTTTTTTTATTTCAGATGCATCTATTTTATTATTTTTCAATTTCTCGATATTTCGATTTTTCGGTTTTTAACATTTTTGGTTTCAACGTTTCGATTTTTTTCGATTTTTCAGTTTTCCGATTCTTCAATATATCGATTTTTTTATTTTTCGGTATTTGAAGTTTTTGTTTTTTTGATTTTTTAAATTTGATTTTTCGACTTTCGTTTTCTCAATTTTTCAGTTTTTTTAATTCCCAATTTTTTAATGTTTCAGTATTGGCGTTTTTCAATTTTTCGACTTTATCAATTTATCAATTGTTCATTTTTCCAATTTTTCAGGTTTGTTTTCTTAATTTTTTAATCTTTAATTTTTCGATTTTTCAGTTTTTCTACTTTTTGATTCTTCCATTTTTCAATGTTTCAGTTTTAGGGTTTTCTAATTTTTCAATTTTTCAATTTTTCGAATTATCAATTTTCCGATATTTTAATTTTGTGATATTTTTGTATTTTTCAATTTTTCGAATTTTCGACTTTGATTTCCGATTTCTCGATCTCTTTACTTCAATTTTTCGATTATTTAATTTTTTTATTTTTTGATTCCCCAATTTTATATTTTTGATATCTTAAATTTTAGATTTTTCGATTTTTCTGCTTTTCAATTTTTCAATTTTTTTTTATTTTAGAAAGATCTATTTTTCGATATTTCAATTTTTCGACTCCTCTCTTTTAGATTTCTCAGTTTTTCAATTTTTCGGTTTTTAAAATTTTCAATATCAATGTTTCGATTTTTTTCGATTTTTGAGTTTTCCATTTGTTCAATATTTCGATTTTTAATTTTTAGATTTTTTAATTTTTAAACTTTTCAATTTGAAATTTTTGCATTCCTCGATTATCCGATTTTCCAATTTCTTCAATTTTCAATTTTTCCATTTTTTAATTTGAGAAGTTGAAAAATCGAAAAATTGGAAAATCGAAAAATTAAAATTCCGGAAAAAATAAAAAACAGAAAAATCGAAAAATTCAAAAAGGGAAAAATTAAAAAATGAAAACTCGAAATAATGAAACATTGCAAATCGAAGAATTGAATTTTTTTAATATCACCATTTTCGTTTTGGCAGCTTTAATTTTTTCAATTTTTCAATGTCTCAATTTTCAAAATTTTCAAAACTTTGACTTTTATTTTTCATTTTCCCGATTTTTAAATTTTCATTTTTCGTTTCCTTTATTTTTTAAAGTTTATTTCTTGTTTAAATTTTTCATCTTCGATTTTTCAGTTCCTCGACTTTCCAATTTTTAAACTTTCTATTTTGAAATTTTTGTATTCCTCAATTATGCGAATTCCCAATTACTTTAATTTTCAGTTTGTAGATTTTTTGATTTTTAAGTTTTTCTGTTTTTAATATTTCGATTTTTCAGTTTTTCGTTTCTTCAATTTTTCAAGTTCTTAATTTCCAGTTTTAGATTTTTCAAAGTTTTGATTTCACACTTTTTGGTCTTTTCATTTTTGATTTATCAATTTCGCAATTTTCCCATTTTTTTATTTGAAAAGTTGAAAAAACGAAAAATTAAAAAAAATCGCATTGAAAAAAGACAAATTATAAAATCAGAACATTGAAAAACCTAAATCGAAAAACAGAAAATTGAAAACTCATGACATTGCAGATCAAACAATGGCAAAATCAAAAATCTGAAACATCCAAAAGTTAGAAAATCGAAAGAGTGAAAAATTAAATAATGGAAACTCGAAAAATTGCAAATTGAAGGAACAGAAAAAAATAAAAATTCAAAACTTGCAAATCCCTAAATTAAAGAAATGAAAAATTGATAACATTGAAACTGGAAAAAAAAAATTAAATCAGGACATAGAAAAATCGAATAACTAAAGAAATCAAGAAAATAAAAAAACCACGCGAAAATTGAAAATCCGAAAAGTGAAAAATTAAAAACTGAAAACTCGAGAAACTCAAATCGAAAAATTGCAATATCTAAAATGGAAAAATTCAAATGTTGGAAAATTGAAAAAGTGTAAAGATTGAAAAATCGGAAAATCAAAATCATCAAAAAATAAATTATCCGAAATCAATTTTTTTAATTTTTTCGGTTTCCCATTTTCTTCGATTTTACAATTTTTTTATATCAGCATTTTTTCCTTTTGCAATATTAATTCTTTTAAATTTTCAGTTTTTTGAATTTTTTGGTTTTCAATTTTTCGGTGTTATAATTTTTCATTTTTTGATTTTCCAGTTTCTCAGTTTTTAATTTTTCGATTTTTCAATTTTTCATGTCCTCAATTTTTCAAGATCTTGACTTTTATTTTTCATTTTCCCGATTTTTAAATTTTCATTTTTCATATTTTTAAATTTTAATTTTCCTTTATTTTTTTAAAGTTTATTTCTTGATTATTCATTTGTTAAAATTTTCCACTTTTGATTTTTCAATTTCTCGATTTTCTAATTTTTAAACTTTTCAATTTTAAAATGTTTGGATTCGTCAATTATCCGATTTTCCGGTTTCTTTAATTTGCAATTTTTCTCAGCTTTTAATCTTTGGATTTTTCAATTTTTCATATCTTCAATTTTTCAAATTCTTGATTTCCAGTTTTAGATTTTTCGGAGTTTTGATTTGAACTGAAAAAACGAAAAATTAGAAAATCGAAAAAGTGAAGAAATGAAAAATCGAAAAAAATTAGTTAACCTTTAAATTGGAACGAAGAAAGAAGAAATCGAAAAATTGGGAAGCCGAAAAAGTGAAAAATTTAAAAATTATAGAATTGTCAAAGTTGTAAACAATGAAAGATCGAAAAATTGAAACATTAAAAATTGAATAAATTAAAAAAAATTTTAAAACCACTAACTGAAAAATGGAAAACTTCTAAAATGGTAAAATTGAAAACGTGAAAAATTTTAAAAATTATAATTATTATTAGATGCAAATTAGACACGAAAACGAAAAATTCAAAATCTAAAACTGAAAAACAAAAAATTAAAAAATCTAAATATTGCAAATCCAAAAATTGAAAAATCCAAAAATTAAAATATTTGCCATTAAAACAAGACAAATTGTGAAATTAGAAAATTGAGAAACCCACAAATTGAAAAAAATGAAGAGAATAAAAAATTGAAATTAAGAAGTTGAAAATCAAAAGATTAAAACATCAAAAAGTCATAAAATCGAATGAAAATTAAAACTGAAGGAACAGAAAAAATGAAAAATTGATAATATTGAAATTGAAAAAACAAAAAATTATTCAATCAGAACGTTGAAAAATCAAATAACTCTAAAAATTATGGAAATAAATAAACGACAAAAAAATTGCAAATCGAAAAACTGAAAAATTAAAAATTCGAGAAACTCAAATTGAAAAATGGAAAAATTGAAAAGACTGAAAAATCAAAAAATTGAAACATTGAAAAACTAGAAATCGAGAAACTTAAAAATTATAAAAAATTTATATATCGAAAAATTGGAACCGAAAAATTGTAAATTAGAAACACTGAATGTCGAAAAATTGAAAATTTAATTATTTTTTCAATTTTTCGTATCCTCAATTTTTCAAGATCTAGTTTTTTATTTTTCAGTTTCCCGATTTGTTAGTTTTCATTTTCTCGATTTTGTATCACCATTTTTCCCTTTTCCGTTTCCTTTATTTTTCAATGTTTATTTTTTATTTATTCAATTCTTCAAATTTTCCACCTTTGATTTTTCAATTCCTCGATTTTCCAATTTTTAAACTTTTCAATTTTGAAATTTTTGGGCTCCTCAATTATCCGATTTTTCAGTTTTTCAATTTTCAATTTTTTGATTTTGCATTTTTTCGATTTTTAAGTTTCTCAGTTTTTAATTACTTTTTCGATTTTTCTTTTTTGATTTTTCAGTTTTACAATTACGCAGTTTTCCCATTTTTTTATTTGAAAAGTTGAAAATCGAAAAAGTGAAGGAACGAAAAATCGAAACATTGAAAAACGAAAAACCATCCAAAAAATTAATTAACCGAAAACTGGAAAGAACAAAAAACGAATCGAATCGAAAAACTGGAAATCCCAAAAACTGAAAAATCGAAAAATCATAAAATTATAGAAAATTGTAAAATCGGAAAACTGTAGCACCGAAAGATCGAAAATTTGAAAAATTAAAAATGGAAAAATTGAGAAATTGATAAATAAATAAAAATGTTTTAAAATCTAAAAAGCCAAAATTGGAAAAACCGAAAAATTAAAAAATTAAAAATGAAATCTATGCAAATTGAAAAATTGTAAAAATAATGAAAATAAAAACCGAAACAAAGAACTGAAACTCGAAAATCTAAAAATTGATACATCCAAAATTATAAAATCGAAAAACAGAATAATTAAAAAAACCGAAAGGGTTGCATATCGTAAAACTGAAGAAACAGCAAAGATGTGAAATTAAGAATTGCATATCGAGAAAAGAAAAAATTTAAATAAGTTGAAATTGAAAACTCAAGAAACTTCAAATCGAAAAACTGTAAAATCTAAAAATTCTCAATTTTTTGTTTCAGCTTTAATCGTCATCAGCATCCAAGACGAGAACGACAACGCACCCGTTTTTCCTGAGGGAACTGAGACAGTCAAGCGCCAAGTTACCGAAAACGCCGCCCTGGGAACAGGCATCACTTCCCCAGTGGCCACGGATGCGGATATTGGAAACAACTTGACTTACTCAATTGAGTAAGTTCTGCTTTATAATTGTCGACTTAATCAAAACGGTGTTTCTAGGAGCGCTGACGCGGATACACCCAAAGACTGGGTCACTATTGACCCTACCACGGGAATAATCGAAGTCAGCTACGACAAAATAGACTGCGATGACCCTAAAAGGGACAGCCTTAAGTATACAGTTACAGTCACTGATGGAAAACACGAGACTCCAGTCACGGTATGCGTAACCTTTTTGTGGAAAATATGTAAACACCCAAACAATTTTCCAGATAACTGTTGATATTATTGACACAAATGACAACGCTCCGACGATGGACGACTACACCAAACATATCGCGGAAACTCCGAACGGCGACAATAGTGCTAATGGTTCAAGTGTAGTCATTTTGGAGCCAAAGGACATCGACAGAGATGGTAAATACTAAAGTCGGCAATCAAAAACGCTTATTGTTTCTTTCAGAGGCTTACCACACGGTGGCATGTTCATTCGCGCCGTCAACGACCTTAGACGTTACAAACCGATTTATGATAGTAGACAATGAAATTAAAGTGTTTTTGCTCGAAGGAGTCGATCTCGACAGAGAAACGCTAGCAGAGTTTGTCTTTGATCTGAACTGCTACGATGATCCGCAGCGTCAAGGTATTACCAAGATAGGCGCTTTTTGTCGATTTTGTGACGAATTTTGATTTAGGGCCTACTTCAAATCCTATCAGTCCCCCTCCCAGAATCACTATCATTTTGGACGACATCAACGACAACGCCCCCACTATCAATAACACTGTTATCACGGGGAAGAACGAAAATACAGCAAAAGTGGGTTCAATATAGCGGATTTTAGTTGAAGGTTAATGATCGTTTTCAGAACACTAAAATCACCCTTTCCGGAAAAGATGAAGACGCTCCAGATACCCCCAATTCGCAAATTGAGTTTGTGAAAATCTCGAAAATCCAAAGAAATGTTGATGGCATAGCGCAGAACGATCCTCCACAGGATCTTTTCGTTATCGAAACGGGTGACAACAACGAAGGAATTTTGACCTTGAATTTGGAGAATCTAAGGAATTACTATGGAAATTTGGTTCTAACCATCAGCGTATGTATCAGTTTTGTGATGAATACTTTCATAGGAGTTGTTTTAGTTGACTGACAAGGGAGAGTCTCCACTGACGAGTGACGTTGACGTTACTATAGAAGTGGCAAAATACAACTTTGAAGAACCTGCGTTTATTTCCCCCAAAGAAGGAAAAACCTATTATTTGCAACCGGTACGTAGTAGAACAAGCATGGACACAAATTAAGAATAATTAATTGTAGGAGCAAACTCCCTACACTGCACTTCTTATGTTCGATGGAATCACTTACATGGACGCTATTAATGCAACAGATCAACAAGGACAGAAATTTCTCCTGGACTTGAAAATTGTTAAAGACGACGCAGACCTTTTCTATCTCAAGTCATCTGGAAATTCAATAGGAGAATTACAGATGAAGACCAGCAGCTTCGAAAAACAACTCTTCCCTGTAATTTCGGTTAGGTTTAAAATTCCACTTCTGAAACTTTTTTTTAGTTGACCATTAATGCAACAATTAGTGACGCGATGATTCAGGGAAGTGCAGCTTTTTCGAAAATCGTAACCTTCAATATGGGCATCTTCGACAAAATAAGAACGGATCCCATTTTCACTAACCACGAAGGCAGAACAAATTTCACAGAAAATCAAAAGGGGCTAACCTACCAGGTGGAGAATGCTACGTATTCGGACAAAGACCTTCCTGATGACCTACCAGTGTACTACTTACTGAAAACGGGTGATGAAAGCATTTTTGAACTTGACCAGAAAACTGGATTGTTGACGCTTAAACAAGAACTGGATTATGAACAGACTCAGAGCTACGATCTAGTTATCCAGTCTTCGAACGGGCCGGCTATTAAACCTGATGCTATAGAAGACACTAGATTTTACTTGACCGTTGACGTAAGTGGTCGGTTTAGATTTAAATGCAATAAGTAACAAATTGTGGTAGGTGGGCGATGCCAATGACAACGCTCCGGTCTTCACCGATAAGAAATATATCGGTATGATGCTTACCGTTTCAGATACCACAGATTCCTCAGTGGTAAAAGTTCAAGTAAGACCTGAAAATTAGTACTAGTAAGTAATTATCTGTAACCATAATTTTCAGGCTACTGATGCAGACACAACAAGTCAAGGTAAACTCGTCTACAGTATAACAAAAACAACTGGATCCAATCCAGACTTAATCGCTCTGGGAAATGCGTTCAAAATCGACTCCTCTAATGGCGACATCGCTCCTATCTTCACCCAAAATGCCAAATACTCTGGCTACTTCACGCTAGATGTATCAGTTACAGACGAAGCTCCCGAAAGTAAGGATCACCACAGTCGCCACATTCAACTAACAATCTCTATTTTCCTTCAGACAACCAAGACACAGCCCAAGTCAATATCTACCTAGTCACGGATAGCAACCTCGTCAAATTTACCTTTGAAAACGACCTCGACACCGTCTCCAACTTGAGAGAAAACGTTAGTTCAAAACCGAGTCCCAAATTCCTCTAACTTCCTTTTTCAGGCCACCGCAGTCTTGGACGAAATCTTCAAAAACGAGAGCTACGTCAGCAAAGTGCTCACCCCCACACAAGGAGATCCCGTCAATGACAATCCTCGTACAAACGCTCCAATTTACTTCGTGAAGACCACTGACAACTCCCCAGTAGAATCAAGCAACATCTACCAGTAAAACTTCAAGTTCAACACCAAGACAATTATTTTTTCATGTCGGTTTCAGGAAAGTCACAGACACCAACTTCTTCAGACAACTCCAGAGAGCGTTTTTGGCGATCGGTTTGAGCCTACAGAGTTTTGACTCGGAAGCTGATACTACGGACAACATGGAGGAGACGCTGAAAGCGTGGCTTATCGGAGTAGCGGTAGTTCTGGGGTCGCTCTGTCTGATTCTTCTGATTGCGTTCATCTTGAAAACTCGGACGTAAGAGAACTATTTTTTTGTAGCACCGAATTGATTTTTTTTGTAGTTTGAACCAGAGGATTGATAAGTTGTCCAACACCAAGTTCGGCTCGCAGGAGTCCGGGTTGAACAGGACCGGAGTTACGGCTCCTACTACCAATAAACACGCGGTGGAGGGCTCGAATCCGGTGTATAACAACGAAATTGACACCAAGGATATCGATCGGAGGAGGTAAGAGCGAGAGGGGTGAGAGTTGAGGTTAATCCTGGGTTGTAGTGTCACCAGTGGCGATTCGGACTTGATAGGAGTTGAGGATGACGAGAAATTTAATGTCGGGGACGGCGAGAGATATAATATCGAGGATGACGACAAATTTAATTTCGACGGAGACGGGTCGATGAACAGAGAAAACGTTATAGAGTAGATTTATCCCTAATTTTGTATTATTTATTTAAGATATGTAAATATCGTATTGTATTATAGTATAAATACATTTTTTTATTAAATTGAGTTGTTTTACTGGCTAAAAAGAATGATTGTATTATTTTGTTGGCACTCATGGTTGTTATCTTTGTTCCATACTAATACAGTTTGATTTTTTTTTTTGAAGAAAATTTGTAGAAAATGGTTAAATTTAAGTTAAATAAACTGCTCTAAAATCTTGAAAATATGTCAAGGTTATCATAAAGATGGTATCGATAATCAACATTTTTTTTATCGATTGCAAAAACTTGATAAGAGTTATCTCCTAGTTTTGTTAGGCAAACCACAATATAGAATAGATCTATATTTGTGGTAGGTATATCAGTGTATTCATATTTTATACCACTTTCTCTTGGTGTTTTTATATCGCTCTTTTTTTTACCCTATTTTGTCGTTTTATTTTCGTCTATTTTGCTTGTTCTCTCTGTTTTTTCGTTTCTTTTGTGTGTTTTTTTTTTGTATAGCAATGTTTTAGCACTATTTGGTGCTTATTTTGGTATTTCGTGGACACTTTTTTGTTGATTGTTTTGTTGCGTATGCGTATCTTACCCTCTTTTAAAAGCATGTGTTGGATTTTTTATCCTGTTCTTCTTTGGCATCTTTTTCTGTCACTTTCGTCAGTTGACATTTTTTTATGCTTTCTTAGTCGATTGTTTTTGTGACCTTTCTTTGTTATATTTTCTATTCCTTTCTTTTTTTCAATTTTTTCGTTTTTTTGTAAGTATTTGGGTTCCTTTTTGACATTTTTCTCTCGGTTTTATGTTGTTTCTTTTTATGGGTTGTTTTATTTTTTAGAACATTTTTTTCATATTTTTTCTCTTCTTCTTCTGAACCTTTTTCAGCTACAATTTTTTGACACTTTTGCTCGTTTTATGGCCTTTTTTTTGTCTTTTTGATGATTTTTTGTTTACTTTTTTTTGTCACTTTCTTGCGTTTTTATCGTCTTGTGTGTCATCATTTTTAACGCATTTTTGTGGTGCTTTTATGTTTTCTTTATTGACACTCTTGTCATTGTCGTCATTCTTGTCGTTTTTTTTATTTTTTATAGATTATTTGCGGTGTTTTCAGCCTATTTTGTATCCTTTTTAGTGAATTTTTTTGGTATTTTTTCTGTCTTTCGCTTACTCGCTGTTGTTTGTCGTTTTTTTTTTTCGTTTTATTCTGTACATTTTCTTGTGGCGTTTATTTTATATTTCTTCAGCCTATATTCATCCACCTTTCGGGGAATTTTTGTGAACTTCTCTGTATTTTTTGCCTCATTTTTTTGTTGTATTTTCGCTTTTTTGCGCTTTTTGTGGTTTGTTTTGTTTTCTTTTTTTATAAACTTTTTGGTCTCTTTTTCCTTTACTTTGGTGTCTCTTTCTGTCACTTTTTCAGTCGCGTTTTTTACGCTTCGGCCTTTTTTTGTGTTGCTGCTTTTTATGGCCTTTTTCATCATCCTTTTTATAACACTTTCTTTTGATTATTTTTTTTTTGTGGTTTGTTTTTCGCATTTGTGTGGTCTTAGTTGTCGTCTCTTTTTTGTACCCTTTTTATGGTAGCGCTTTTTGTCACTTTTTTTTAATTGTCGCTTTTTGTCACCTTTGTCTTTGTCTTGGTCTTTCTTTTGTTGCTTCTTTGGTAGTATTTTTTTGTCAATTTTTTTGCCTTATTTGCCTTTTTTTCCAAACTTCTTTTTACCCCTTTTTTGCGCTTTCTTTGTATTTTTTCTCTTACATTTTTTAAGGCTTTTTCTTGTCAGTTTGGTTACATTTTTTTGCGTTTTTCGTTATAAGGCACTTGTTTTATTTTTATAAGCCTTATTTTTTTGTTTTTCGTTATTCTCTTTTTTTCTGTAATTTTTTTCAGTTGCATTTTTTAGCGCTTCTTTTAGATAGTTTTTGTTTGACAATTTTTTGGCCGTTTTATGGTGGTTGTTTTTTGATTATTTGTCGTCTTTTTTATCACTTTTTCATTATATTTTCCCCTTGCTTCTTTTTTCCAATTTTTGTGGTCCTACTTGTCGTCTCTTTTTTATAGTTTTTTATTTCAGGTCATGTATTTTGCCATGTTTCGTTTTTTATTGTACTTCTTTTGTTCCTTTTTTTTGGTCGAATTTTTTTGTTATTTTTTTATTGCGTTTTTTTCAACACCTTTTTTGTTTTTATCGCATTTTGTCGTGTTTTTCGGCTAATTTTTTTATCGCCCAACACGTTTTTGTCTTTTTTTTTCCTCTTCTGTGGCGTCTTTTTGTGTGACTTTTTCCAATTGCATTTTTTTTAGCTTTTTTTTTAGATGGTTTTGTTTGTTTGACATTTTTTTGACCTTTTATTATTTTCTTCTAACTTTTCCGTTTACCTTTTTTCGTTGCTAATTTTGTTGTTTTTTTTGTGACCTCTCTTTTTGTAGCATTTTTTTGGTAACGTATTTTGTCAATTTTTTTGTTTTTTAATTTGGTTCTGATGGTTTTCTGAGGCATTTTTGTGGTCTTTTTGGAGGCATTTTTTCGATCTTTTGTTACGTTTTTTGTCCTTTTTTAAACACTTTTTCTTCTACTTCTTGTTCTTCTTCTTTTGTTGTACTTTTTAGCCTCTCTTTGTTCCCTCCAAGCTTCATTTTTTCGGTTGTTTTTTGATGTTTTTTTGATATATTTTCGTCTGGTTTTTGTCGCCTCCTTTAGTTGTCGTTTTTTTTTTGAATTTTTTTGTCATATATTTCTGTTGTCTTATTTCTTTTGACTTTTTTTTGTCGCCCTTGGATGTTAATTTTTATTGCAATTTCTGTGTTTTTGTCGTTTTTGCCTCTTTTTTTGTCAGTTGTTTTGTCTCTTTCTTTTAGACGCCGTTTTTTTGCGTTTTTTGTCTCTTTTTTTGTATTATCCTTTTTCAGTCGCATATTTTGATGTTTCTTTTAGGTAATATTGTTTAACGATTTTTTCGCCTGTTTTTTGTTGCCCCTTTTTGTTTTCTGTTACCTTTTTAGATATTTTTCGTCGTTTCTTTCTGGTATTTTTATCGTCTTTTTTTTCACATTCTCTTTTTTATTTTTTCCGCTTATTTTGTAATTCTTGGGGTCTTTTTTGACTGTATTTTCAACGTTTTGTTGTTGCTTTTTTCTATCTCTTTTTCTGTATCTTTTTTCACTTGCATTTTTTTCATACTTCTTTTAATCAATTTTGCTCGACAATTTTTTGGCAGTTTTTGTGTAACGCGTTTTACGGCCTTTTTGTCGTCTTTCTAATGGCTTTTTGTTTACCTTTTTTCGTAATTTTTTTGACGCTTATTTGTGGTATTTTAATGTTTTTTATTCTCGCTCTTTCGTGATTTATCGCCATTTTGTCGGTTTTTTGCTCATTTTTAGGTGTTTTTTAGCCTATTATATTCCAATTTTGGGGAATTTTTCGGTATTTTTTGTATTTTTTTCCTTTCTTTTGTTTTTTCTCTTTCTGATTTGGCGTGTTTTTCTGTCACTTTTTTCCATCGCATTTTTTACGCTTCTGTTAGACAGTTTTATTTGACGATTTTTGTTGTTTTTGTTTGTGCCACTGGTTTTTGTGGCCCTTTTTCTAACATTTTTTTTTAGCATTTTCTTTTGAATACTTTCTTCGTCGCTTGTTTTGTGCATTTTTGTACTCTCTTTTGTCACCTCTTTTTTAATTGTCGCCTGTTTGGGTGCATATTTTGTAATTTTGTTTGTTGCCTTTCTTTGTTTCTTTGTTTTTTTTCAGCTTCTTTGTATTTTTCTCTCGCATTTTTGACGCTTTTTTGACATTTTCTTGTCGCTTTTTCAAATTTGTTGTCGTTTTTCGCTTGTTGAAGCTTGTTTTATTTTTAAAAGCCTTATTTTATTCTTTTTTTATTCTTCTATATTTTGTATTTTTCTGTCACCTTTTTCAATCACATTTTTTGGTCCTTCTTTTAAACAGTTGTGTTTTACAATTTTTTAGCCCTTTTTATTGCGGGCGTTTTTGAGGCCTTTTTGTAGATTTTTTTTATCACTTTTTGATTACATTTTTCTGTCGATTGTTTTTTTGCTATTTTTTGTAGTCTTTTTTTGGTCACGTATTTTGTCATATGTTCTTGTTTTTTATTATCGTTCTTTCGTTCCTTTTTACCTTTTTTACCGTATTTTGTAGTGTTTTTCATTTCCTTTTTTGTCCCCAAACGTTTTTTTTTGTCGCTTTTCTATACTTTTTTTTCAATAAGTAACAAATTGTGGTAGGTGGGCGATGCCAATGATAACGCTCCGGTCTTCACCGATAAGAACTATATCGGTATGATGCTTACGGTTTCAGATACCACAGATGCCTCAGTGGTAAAAGTTCAAGTAAGACCTGAAAATTATTCCTAGTAAGTAATTATCTATAACCATATTTTTCAGGCTACTGATGCAGAAACAACAAGTCAAGATAAACTCGTCTACAATATAACAAAAACAACTGGATCCAATCCAGACTTAATCGCTCTGGGAACTGCGTTCAAAATCGACTCCTCTAATGGCGACATCGCTCCTATCTTCACCCAAAATGCCAAATACTCTGGCTACTTCACGCTAGATGTATCAGTTACAGACGAAGCTCCCGAAAGTAAGGATCACCACAGTCGCCACATTCAACTAACAATCTCTATTTTCCTTCAGACAACCAAGACACAGCCCAAGTCAACATCTACCTAGCTACCTAGTCACGGATAGCAACCTCGTCAAATTTACCTTTGAAAACGACCTCGACACCGTCTCCAACTTGAGAGAAAACGTTAGTTCAAAACCGAGTCCCAAATTCCTCTAACTTACTTTTTCAGGCCACCGCAGTCTTGGACGAAATCTTCAAAAACGAGAGCTACGTCAGCAAAGTGCTGAGCCCCACACAAGGAGATCCCGTCAACGACAACCCTCGTACAAACGCTCCAATTTACTTCGTCAAGACCACCGACAACTCCCCAGTAGAATCAAGCAACATCTACCAGTAAAACTTCAACTTCAACACCAAGACAGTTATTTTTTCATGTCGGTTTCAGGAAAGTCACGGACACCAACTTCTTCAGACAACTCCAGAGAGCGTTTTTGGCGATCGGTTTGAGCCTGCAGAGTTTTGACTCGGAAGCTGATACTACGAACAACATGGAGGAGACGCTGAAAGCGTGGCTTATCGGAGTAGGGGTAGTTTTGGGGTCGCTATGTCTGATTCTTCTGATTGCGTTCATCTTGAAAACTCGGACGTAAGAAAACAGGTTTGTTGTAGCACCGAATTGATTTTTTTGTAGTTTGAACCAGAGGATTGATAAGTTGTCCAACACCAAGTTCGGCTCGCAGGAGTCCGGGTTGAACAGGACCGGAGTTACGGCTCCTACTACCAATAAACACGCAGTGGAGGGCTCGAATCCGGTGTATAACAACGAAATTGACACCAAGGATATCGATCGGAGGAGGTAAGACCGAGACGGGTGAGAGTTGAGGTTAATCCTGGGTTGTAGTGTCACCAGTGGTGATTCGGACTTGATAGGAGTTGAGGATGACGAGAAATTTAATGTTGGGGATGGCGACAGATATAATATCGAGGATGACGATAAATTTAATTTCGACGGAGACGGGTCGATGCACAGAGAAAATGTTATAGAGTAGATTTATCCCTAATTTTGTATTATTTATTTAAGATATGTAAATATCGTATTGTATTATAGTATAAATACATTTTTTTATTAAATTGAATTGTTTTACTGGCTAAAAAAATGATTGTATTATTTTGTTAGCACTCATGGTTATTTTTGTTCAATACTATTACAGTTTGTTTTTTTTTTTTGAAGAAAATTAGTAGAAAATGGTTAAGTTTAAGTTAAATAAAGTGCTCTAAAATCTTGAAAATATGTCAAGGTTATCATAAAGATGGTATCGATAATAATCAACATTTTCTTTTATCGATTGCAAAAACTTAATTAACAATTATCTCCTAGTTTTTTCGTTTTTTTTATGTTCCTTTTTGTATAGCAATTTTTTAGCACTTTTTGGTGCTTATTTTTGTATTTCATGGTCACTTTTTTGTTGATTATTTTGTTGCGTATATTAGCCTCTTTTATAAGCATGTGTTGGATTTTTTATCCTGTTCTTCTTTGGCATCTTTTTCTGTCACTTTCGCCAGTTGCATTTTTTGATGCTTTTTTAGTCGCTTGGTTTTGTGACCTTTCTTTGTTATATTTTCTATTCCTTTTTTTTTAGATTTTTCGCTTTTTGGTAATTATTTGGGGTCCTTTTTGACATTTTTCTCTCAGCTTTTTGTTGTTTTTTTTATGGGTTGTTTTATTTTTTAGAACATTTTTTTCATATGTTTTCTCTTCTCTTTCTGAAACTTTTTCAGCTACAATTTTTTGACGCTTCTTTTAGACAATTTTGCTCGTTTTGTGGCGTTTTTTTTGTCTTTTTGATGATTTTTTTGTTAACTTTTTTCGACGCTTTTTTGCGTTTTTATCGTCTTGTTTGTCATCATTTTTTGGCGCATTTTTTTGGTGCTTTTAAGTTTTCTTTATTGACACTCTTGTCATTGTCGTCATCTTTGTCGTTTTTTTTTATTTTTTGTAGATTATTTGCGATTTTTTTTGTGTTTTCAGCCTATTTTGTATCCTTTTCAGTGAATTTTTTGGTATTTTTTCTGTCTTTCGCTTATTCACTTTTGTTTGTCGGTTTTTTTTTTTCGTTTTCTTCTGTACATTTTGTTGTGGCGTTTATTTTATATTTCTTCAGCTTATTTTGATCCATCTTTCGTTGAATTTTAGTGAGTTTTTTTGTATTTTTTTACCGCTTTTTTTTGTTGTTTTTTCGCTTTTTTGTGCTTTTTTTGGCTTGTTTTCTTTTCTTTTTATTTCTAAACTTTTTGGTCTTTTTTTTCTCTGCTTTGGGGTCTATTTCTGTCACTTTTTCAGTCGCGTTTTTTTACGCTTCGGCCTTTTTTGTGTTGCTGCTTTTTATGGCCTTTTTTGTCATCCTTTTTATATCACTTTCTTTTGATTATTTCTTTTCGTGGTTTGTTTTTCGCATTTTTGTGGTCTCAGTTGTCGTCTTTTTTTTTGTAGCCTTTTTATGGTAGCGCTTTTTGTCACTTTTTCTAATTGCCGCTTTTTGTCATTTTTGAATTTTGTTCTTGGTCTTTCTTCTTTGGTAGTATTTTTTTGTCAATTTTTTTGCTTTATTTGCCTTTTTTCCAAATTTCTTTTTACCCCTTTTTTGCGCTTTCTTTGTATTTTTCCACTCACATTTTTTGAGGATTTTTCTTGTCAGTTTGGTTACATTTTTTTGACGTTTTTCGTTATAAGGCACTTGTTTTATTTTTATAAGCCTTATTTTTTTGTTTTTCTTTATTCTCTTTTTTGACGTCTTTTTCTGTAATTTTTTTTCAGTTGTATTTTTTGACCCTTCTTTTAGACAGTTTTTGTTTGACAATTTTTTGGCCGTTTTATGGTGGTTGTTTTTTGATTATTTATCGTCTTTTTTATCACTTTTTCATTATATTTCCCTTTGCTTGTTTTTTGCAATTTTTGTAGTCTTTCTTGTAGTCTCTTTTTTGTAGTTTTTTATTTCAGGTCATGTATTTTGCCATGTTTTGTTTTTTATTGTAGTTCTTTTGTTCCTTTTTTTTGTTATTTTTTTATTGCGTTTTTTTCATACCTTTTTTGCTTTTTATCGCATTTTGTCGTGTTTTTCAGCTCATTTTTTTATCATCCAACACGTTTTTGTCTTTTTTATTCCTCTTCTGTGGCGTCTTTTTCTGTGACTTTTTTCAGTCGCATTTTTTAAGCTTTTTTTTAGATGGTTTTGTTTGTTTAACATTATTTTTGACCTTTTATTTATTTCTTCTAACTTTTCCGTTTACCTTTTTCGTTGCTATTTTTGTTGTTTTTTTTTTTGTAACCTCTCTTTTTGTAGCATTTTTTTGGTAACGTATTTTGTCAATTTTTTTGTTTTTTAATTTGGCTCTGATGGTTTTCTGAGGCATTTTTGTGGTCTTTTTGGAGGCATTTTTTCGATCTTTTGTTACGTTTTTGTCATTTTTTAAACACTTGTTCTTCTACTTCTTCTTCTTCTTTTGTAGTATTTTTTAGCCTCCCTTTGTTCCCTTCAAGGTTCAGTTTTTTCGGTTGTTTTTTGATGTTTTTTTGATATATTTCCGTCTGGTTTTTGTCGCTTCCTTTTGTTGTTGTTTTTTTAAGAATTTTTTTTGTCATTTATTTCTGTTGTGTTATTTCTTTTGACTTTTTTTGTCGCCCTTTGATGTTAATTTTTATCGCAATTTCTGTGTTTTTGTCGTTTTTGTCTCTTTTTTTGTCAGTTCTTTTATCTTTTTCTTTTAGACGCCGTTTTTTTGCGTTTTTTGTCTCTTTTTTTGTATTATATTGTTTCAGTCGCTAATTTTGATGTTTCTTTTAGGTAATATTATTTGACGGTTTTTTCGCGGGTTTTTTGTTGCCCCTGTTTGTTTTCTGTTACTTTTTTAGATTTTTTTCGTCGTTTCTTTGTGGTATTGTTATCGTCTTTTTGTTCACATTCTCTTTTTTATTCTTTTCGCTTATTTTGTAATTCTTGGGGTCTTTTTTGACTGTATTTTCAACGTTTTGTTGTCGCTTTTTTCTCTCTCTTTTTCTGTAACTTTTTTCACTTGCATTATTTCATATTTCTTTTAATCAATTCTTCTTGACAATTTTTTGTCAGTTTTTGTGTAACGCGTTTTACGGCCTTTTTGTCGTCTTTCTAATGGCTTTTTGTTTACCTTTTTTCGTAATTTTTTTGACGCATATTTGTGTTTTTTTTTATGTTTTTTATTCTCGCTCTTTCGTGATTTATCGCCATTTTGTCGGTTTTTTGCTCTTTTTTAGGTGTTTTTTAGCCTATTATATCCCAACTTTGGGGAATTTTTCGGTATTTTTTGTATTTGTTTCCTTTCTTTTGTTTTTCTCTTTCTGCTTTGGCGTGTTTTTCTGTCACTTTTTTTCATCGCTTTTTTTACGCTTTTGACAGTTTTATTTGACGATTATTGTTGTTTTTCTTTGTGTCACTGGTTTTTGTGGCCCTTTTTCTAACATTTTTTTTAGCATTTTTTTTAATACTTTTATCGTCGCTTGTTTTGTGCATTTTTGTAGTCTCTTTTGTCGTCTCTTTTTTTGTTGTCGCCTCTTTGGGTGCATATTTTGTAATTTTGTTTGTGGCCTTTCTTTGTTTCTTTGGTTTTTTTCAGCTTCTTTGTATTTTTCTCTCGCATTTTTGACGCTTTTTTGGCATTTTCTTGTCGCTTTTTCAAATTTGTTGTCGTTTTTCGCTTGTTGAAGTTTGTTTTATTTTTAAAAGCCTTATTTTATTCTTTTTTTATTCTTCTTTACTTTATCTTTTTCTGTTACCTTTTTCAATCACATTTTTTGGTCCCTCTTTTAAACAGTTGTGTTTTACAATTTTTTAGCCCTTTTTATTGCGGGCGTTTTTGCGGCCTTTTTGTAGAATTTTTTATCACTTTTTGATTACATTTTTCTGTCGATTGTTTTTTTTTGCTATTTTTTGTAGTCTTTTTTTGGTCACATATTTTGTCATATGTTCTTGTTTTTAATTGTCGTTCTTTTGTTCCTTTTTACCTTTTTTATCGTATTTTGTAGTGTTTTTCATCTCCTTTTTTGTCCCCAAACGGTTTTTTTGTCGCTTTTTTATACTTTTTTTTTTAATAAGTAACAAATTGTGGTAGGTGGGCGATGCCAATGACAACGCTCCGGTCTTCACCGATAAGAACTATTTCGGTATGATGCTTACGGTTTCAGATACCACAGATTCTCAGTGGTAAAAGTTCAAGTAAGACCTAAAAATTAGTGCTAATAAGTAATAATCTGTAACCATAATTTTCAGGCTACTGATGCAGACACAACAAGTCAAGGTAAACTCGTCTACAGTATAACAAAAACAACTGGATCCAATGCAGACTTAACCGCTCTGGGAAATGCGTTCAAAATTGATTCCTCTAGTGGTGACATCGCGCCTATCTTCACCCAAAATCCCAAATACTCTGGCTACTTCACGCTAGATGTATCAGTTACAGACGAAGCTCCTGAAAGTAAGGATCACCACAGTCGCCACATTCAACTAACAATCTCTATTTTCCTTCAGACAACCAAGACACAGCCCAAGTCAACATCTACCTAGTCACGGATAGCAACCTCGTCAAATTTACCTTTGAAAACGACCTCGACACCGTCTCCAACTTGAGAGAAAACGTTAGTTCAAAACCGAGTCCCAAATTCCTCTAACTTACTTTTTCAGGCCACCGCAGTCTTGGACGAAATCTTCAAAAACGAGAGCTACGTCAGCAAAGTGCTGAGCCCCACACAAGGAGATCCCGTCAACGACAACCCTCGTACAAACGCTCCAATTTACTTCGTCAAGACCACCGACAACTCCCCAGTAGAATCAAGCAACATCTACCAGTAAAACTTCAACTTCAACACCAAGACAGTTATTTTTTCATGTCGGTTTCAGGAAAGTCACGGACACCAACTTCTTCAGACAACTCCAGAGAGCGTTTTTGGCGATCGGTTTGAGCCTGCAGAGTTTTGACTCGGAAGCTGATACTACGAACAACATGGAGGAGACGCTGAAAGCGTGGCTTATCGGAGTAGGGGTAGTTTTGGGGTCGCTATGTCTGATTCTTCTGATTGCGTTCATCTTGAAAACTCGGACGTAAGAAAACAGTTTTGTTTTAGCACCGAATTGATTTTTTTGTAGTTTGAACCAGAGGATTGATAAGTTGTCCAACACGAAGTTCGGCTCGCAGGAGTCCGGGTTGAACAGGACCGGAGTTACGGCTCCTACTACCAATAAACACGCAGTGGAGGGCTCGAATCCGGTGTATAACAACGAAATTGACACCAAGGATATCGATCGGAGGAGGTAAGAGCGAGACGGGTGAGAGTTGAGGTTAATCCTGGGTTGTAGTGTCACCAGTGGTGATTCGGACTTGATAGGAGTTGAGGATGACGAGAAATTTAATGTTGGGGATGGCGACAGATATAATATCGAGGATGACGATAAATTTAATTTCGACGGAGATGGGTCGATGCACAGAGAAAATGTTATAGAGTAGATTTATCCCTAATTTTGTATTATTTATTTAAGATATGTAAATATCGTATTGTATTATAGTATAAATACATTTTTTTATTAAATTGAATTGTTTTACTGGCTAAAAACATGATTGTATTATTTTGTTAGCACTCATGGTTATTTTTGTTCCATACTATTACAGTTTGTTTTTTTTTTTTTGAAGAAAATTAGTAGAAAATGGTTAAGTTTAAGTTAAATAAAGTGCTCTAAAATCTTGAAAATATGTCAAGGTTATCATAAAGATGGTATCGATAATAATCAACATTTTCTTTTATCGATTGCAAAAACTTAATTAACAATTATCTCCTAGTTTTTTCGTTTTTTTTTTATGTTCCTTTTTGTATAGCAATTTTTTAGCACTTTTTGGTGCTTATTTTTGTATTTCATGGTCACTTCTTTGTTGATTATTTTGTTGCGTATCTTAGCCTCTTTTAAAAGCATGTGTTGGATTTTTTATCCTGTTCTTCTTTGGCATCTTTTTGTGTCACCTCCGTCAGTTGCATTTTTTGATGCTTTTTTAGTCGCTTGTTTTTGTGACCTTTCTTTGTTATATTTTCTATTCCTTTTTTTTAGATTTTTCGCTTTTTGGTAATTATTTGGGGTCCTTTTTGACATTTTTCTCTCAGCTTTTTGTTGTTTTTTTTATGGGTTGTTTTATTTTTTAGAACATTTTTTTCATATTTTTTCTCTTCTCTTTCTGAAACTTTTTCAGCTACAATTTTTTGACGCTTCTTTTAGACAATTTTGCTCGTTTTATGGCGTTTTTTTTGTCTTTTTGATGATTTTTTGTTAACTTTTTTCGGCGCTTTTTTGCGTTTTTATCGTCTTGTTTGTCATCATTTTTTGAAGCATTTTTTTTGGTGCTTTTAAGTTTTCTTTATTGACACTCTTGTCATTGTCGTCATCTTTGTCGTTTTTTTTTATTTTTTGTAGATTATTTGCGATTTTTTTTGTGTTTTCTGCCTATTTTGTATCCTTTTCAGTGAATTTTTTTGGTATTTTTTCTGTCTTTCGCTTATTCACTTTTGTTTGTCGGTTTTTTTTTTTCGTTTTTTTCTGTACATTTTCTTGTGGCGTTTATTTTATATTTCTTCAGCTTCCATCTTTCGTTGAATTTTTGTGAGTTTTTTTGTATTTTTTACCGCATTTTTTTTTGTTGTTTTTCGCTTTTTTGTGATTTCTGTGGCTTGTTTTCTTTTCTTTTTATTTCTAAACTTTTCGGTCTTTTTTTTCTCTGCTTTGGGGTATATTTCTGTCCCTTTTTCAGTCGCGTTTTTTTACGCTTCGGCCTTTTTTTGTGTTGCTGCTTTTTATGGCCTTTTTTGTCATCCTTTTATATCACTTTCTTTTGATTATTTTTTTTCGTGGTTTGTTTTTCGCATTTTTGTGGTCTTAGTTGTCGTCTCTTTTTTGTAGCCTTTTTATGGTAGCGCTTTTTGTCATTTTTTAATTTTGTTCTTGGTCTTTCTTCTGTTGCTTCTTTGGTAGTATTTTTTGTCAATTTTTTTGCTTTATTTGCCTTTTTCCAAGCTTCTTTTTACCCCTTTTTGTACTTTCTTTGTATTTTTTCTCTTACATTTTTTTAGGCTTTTTCTTGTCAGTTCGGTTACATTTTTTTGACGTTTTTCGTTATAAGGCACTTGTTTTATTTTTATAAGCCTTATTTTTTGGTTTTTCTTTATTCTCTTTTTTTGACGTCTTTTTTTGTAATTTTTTTTCAGTTGCATTTTTTGGCGTTTCTTTTAGACAGTTTTTGTTTGACAATTTTTTGGCCGTTTTATGGTGGTTGTTTTTTGACTATTTATCGTCTTTTTACACTTTTTCATTATATTTTCCCCTTGCTTGTTTTTTGCAATTTTTGTAGTCTTTCTTGTAGCCCCTTTTCTGTAGTTTTTTATTCCTGGTCTTGTATTTTTCCATGAATTGTTTTTTATTGTGGTCCTTTTGTTCCCTTTTTTTGGTCGCATTTTTTTATTGCGTTTTTTTCAACACCTTTTCTGCTTTTTATCGCATTTTGTCGTGATTTTCGGCTCATTTTTTTATCGCCCAACACGTTTTTGTCTTTTTTTTTCCTCTTCTGTGGCATCTTTTTGTGTGACTTTTTTCAGTTGCATTTTTTTAAGCTTTTTTTTAGATGGCTTTGTTTGTTTGACATTTTTTTTGATCTTTTATTATTTTCTTCTAACTTTTCCGTTTACCTTTTTTCGTTGCTATTTTTGTTGTTTTTTTTTGTAGCATTTTTTTGGTAACGTATTTTGTCAATTTTTTTGTTTTTTAATTTGGCTCTTTTATGGTTCTCTGAGGCATTTTTGTGGTCTTTTTGCAGGCATTTTTTCGATCTTTTATTACGTTTTTTGTCCTTTTTTAAACACTTTTTCTTGTTCATCTTCTTCTTTTGTCGTATTTTTTAGCCTCTTTTTGTCCCTTTCAAGCCTCATGTTTTTCAATTGTGTTTTTGTAGTTTTTTTGATACATTTTCGTCTGGTTTTTGTCGCCTCTTTTTTGTGTTTTATGTCCTTTTTATGGCGTTTTCTTTTTTATGTGTGTTGTCGTTTTTTTTTTTTAGAATTTTTTTGTTATATATTTCTGTTGCCTTATTTCTTTTGATTTTTTTTGTCGCCCTTTGATGTTAATTTTTATCGCACTTTCTGTGTTTTTGTCGTTTTTGCCTCATTTTTGTGTTCTTTTGTCTCTTTCTTTTATACGCCATTTTCTTGCGCTTTTTGTCTCCTTTTTTGTATTACCTTTTTTGAGTCGCATATTTTGATGTTTCTTTTGGGTAACACTGTTTGACAATTTTTTTCGCCTGTTTTTTGTTGCCCCTTTTTGTTTTATTTTATTTTTTTCAACACTTCTTTTGCCTTTTTATCGCATTTTGTCGTTTATTTCAGCTCCTTTCTTTCCCCCTAACACTTTTTGTCGCTCTATTTTGTCTTTTTTATGCTTTTTGACGTTTGCAAAAATGTTTGTCTTTTTTATCTTCGTCTGCGGCATCTTTTCTGCCACTTTTTTCAGTCGCATTTTTAAAGCCTTTTTTAGATAGTTTTGTTTCTTTGACAATTTTTTTTTGGTCTTTTGTTTTCTTCGAATTTTTCTGTTAACCTTTTTTCGTTGCTTATTTTTCGCAATTTTCGTGGTCTTCTTTTGCAACCTCTTTTTTTGTAGCTTTTTGGGGTCTTTTTTGGAGCCATTTACTCGATATTTTGTTACGTTTTTTTTGTCATTTTTCAATGCTTCTTCTTCTTCTTCTTCTTCTTCTTCTTCTTCTTCTTCTTCTTCTTCTTCTTCTTCTTCTTCTTCTTCTCCTCTCCTCCTCCTCCTCCTCCTCCTCCTCCTCCTCCTCCTCCTCCTCCTCCTCCTCCTCCTCCTCCTCCTCCTCCTTCTTCTTCTTCTTCTTATATTGTAGTATTTCAGCTTCTTTTTGTCCTCTTCAGGCGTCATTTTTTTTCGGTTTAATTTTTTTTGCCTTTTTTTAACGTGTTTTATGTCGTCCTTTTTATCGCGTTTTCTTTTTTATATTTGTTTGTCTGCTTTAATTGGCCATTTTTTTGTACAATCACTTTTGTTTTGTCGGTTCTTTTGTCACTTTCTTTTAGACGCCGTTTTTTGCTTTTTTTGTCTGCTTTTTTTGTATTATCTTTTTTAGTCGCATATTTTGATGTTACTTTTAGGTAATATTGCTTGACGATTTTTTCACCTGTTTTTTGTTGACCGTTCTTTGCATTCTGTGACTTCTTTAAATTTCTTTTTTGGTATTTTTTGTCGTCTTTTTT